ACTTTGCCCCAAAGAACGGGCGTGGAGCGGGGAGGGGGATGGTTGGCAACAAAAGTTTGTTCGTTGGCGCATAGAAACCGCTAGTTGCTGTTTGCTTTACAGCTTCCTTTCTTTCGTTTCGTTTCGTTTCGCTTATTTTTTGTCTCTCTCGCTGGGTATTTTATTGTGGGACGAGCATAAAACTTTGCCATACGAAAGTTTCGGCATTTCTCCCGGAGAGTAAGATGTGCGAATGCATATTGCGGCAGGCAGGCAGGGAGGGGGCGAGAACATGTAACTGGATCTGGTTAGGTGTGTGCTTTTATATCATTTACAGCGCTCGAATATTTGACTTGCTCTCTCTCTCCGTCTGTGTCCGTCTCTCCGTCTCTCTCCGCGTAGCAGCGACTTCCCGGCCAAAAATGGAAAAAGTTTCGCTTGCTTTTGATGTGTGCGTCGTTTTCTCTTTACTTATTTGTATTTTTATTTTTAATTGACTAAGTCCCCTGCAGGATCAGGTGTAAAACTTTGGCAAAAGTGCACCCTTCGCTGTCAAATTGAATTTTGATTCAATTTGCGATGCCGTCGAGGGCTGACAATGTTGCCAAATTGCATTTGCACATTTCACACGTGGCTGCTGCAACATGTTCCTCCCGTTTCGCGACATGTCGCATAAAGGCACGCGCCAGCGAATGCGATTGCTGTACATCCCTGCATATGTTGCAGCAATTGGATTCCAGCCATCGGAGATGAGTAAATTGGCTAGCGTGCCCCACGCTGGTGGAGGCACAACCAGTCCCCAGTCGTAGTATTTAATTCTCAGCATACTTTGAGCTGTGAACGAGTCTGTTCTCAGCGAGTGCCGTGTCTCGTTTACTTGTCTGTCCGTTATTCTCTTCATTTACCTATTCTATTGCGGCAATCGGGTTGATGATAATATTCTGAGAACTCACAGCTGGAGAATACAATTTCCTGCTGGCAAATCATTCGCTGTAATGAAACAGACCAGTCGGACCAGTTGCCAATGCAAATTGCAATATTTGTCAAATATTTCTGGTCGATTGAGATTTGTCTAGACCGGAAATGAAAGCCAACCTTCCGTGGCTCCCGCTCCTTCTGCCAGAGGATGTCGTCGGTCACTGAACCAGGGACCAGCAGGTGCTGGCGTTTTAGGTCGACTGTCCGTATCATAGATACCCCCTTTTCGTGCTCTCCCTTTGGGCTGTGCCTCTTAAGGTTTTAGCATAATTTAAATAAATTTTCAACTAAAAAATACAGACGACGAAAGGAAGGATGGAAAAGCGACTTAGCGGCAATCCGCTTAGCCTGACGCAAAAATTTTAAATTAAAATCCCAGCCTCAACGTTTTTCTATTTTCCCTTCCGTTTCGTTTGGAACGAAATAGTTGAGGGCTCTGGAGCTGGGTATTTGTCGTGGACCGAGCATTTCCAATCAATCGAAATTCAATGCTCCTGCCGGGGCGGGTGGGGGACCATTAACAACGGATCCGGAAGTGGAGCCTTGGACATGCAATTTAAATTCAATTTTTCCACAAAAACCGAAACAGTGCGAGCGCCGACAAACACAGCGAAAAGGTTGTTTGCTTGTTTAGTGCTGAAACCCTTATGACAGCCAGGACATGTGAGCGGAATGGCAAGAGGGGGGAAGGGCGGAAGGATTCGAACTGTCATTGAAGCGGGAGACTCCTGAAATTGTACTGCTAGTGGCGAGGAATGAAGGATGCCATTCCAGGGTTCGGAATGCCATTCCTGTTCAACTGTTGGCATCAATGCGCTCCATTGGGAGTTGGTTGGGGCAAGAAACACATTCCATTGTAAGGAAGAATATCTCTTGATTGTATAGTGAATCGGTTGCATTCATTGCATTCCTGTTGCATCCACATACAATGCATATATTTATATTTATATTTATAGATGTTTAAGTCCCTGTCTGCTCTTGCATTTCAATTGAAGGCAGCATCATTAAATTTGCAATATTTATTCCGTTCGCTGCAGGCGGAATTTAAAAAGCAAACCGCATATGCCACTGCCACAGCTGCTGGTACTGCCACTGCCACTGCCACTGCCACACAATATTGTGTGTGTTCCAGATTGTCACAAACAAGTCACAGCGAATACGGCTAATGCTAAGCGGATTGTGTCGTCTCATATCCTGGGCCCAGACAATGTTGCTCCCACGTATAGTGCCGCTTTGTCATTGTGTCCCTTTGTTATTGGATTGACTTAATGGCCCTACCACCCACCACCCACCACCCACCATTCTCCACTGCTGCTGTCACACTATAAATAGATCAGTCGGAACACATGATATCTGCTAGATGCCAAATGCCATCTGATGGGTGATGGTGACGTTAATGTTAATCCGAGCTGCTCTGCCAATTGGCATTCAACACGTCGCCGTGGCCACCAGCGTAAATCACACTAATTAAATCTGAATGCGGCATTAAAAGTTTACGGCCCGGACTATGACCAGGACCATGGCCTGGACCTGGACCAGGACCTCGACTAGCACCACGACATTAATGTAATCATTTGCCATAAATTTGCATTTATGACGCGTCCCGCGCTGTCTCCTGCTCGTTGTCAGAGCAATTCATTAAGTGGCTGCCGCGATGTCCTGCCTGACATCTTGGCAGCGCAGAGAGGCGACACGAGGTGGCATATTAATTAAAGTGTCGTCGCTAATGAGTTAGATTAAAGCGGACAGGCGGATCCTTTCATTCGGTGCGAGCGTGCGTGTAATTGGCCATATCTGTGCCAGGATTACACCGTGTGTTGATGTGTGTGTGGCATTCATTATGCTTTTTATGCATGTTGCCCCTTCCGCTTCTCTGCCTGCAATTACCAGTCCGTCTTGGTCGCAGAAGAGTATGCTACAATAAACTTTATATACCCCTGTGTTCGCACATGGATTGGGGGCATATTATGTTCCTAGAAAGAAAGAAACCATCCTTATCAGGCGCCACTCGAGTCGAGCCGCTATCCCGCACTGTGCGTATTTTGTTTTTGCACTCTCGGTCCCATACAAAACCTAAATAAGGAGGCATCCCATAGTCGATACGCTCGCGGATAGCCTATTCAAACTTCATTTCATTCGCTCTTTCATATTTTCCCCAAGCGGAAATCTCCTTGATTGAGTTTCCATCAAGTGAAAAAAAATTATTTTAAAAGCGACGGAAACTTAACATTCCGCCAAGCGAAGCCTTGAAATTGCATCGAATGAATGGAAGGCAAGGAAATGTTTTTGAATAGTCCCTCTTGATAAAAAAAAGAGAGCGAGAAAGACCGAAAGTAAAATTTATACTGAAGCCATTTATCAGAATTATTCAGCAATAACTATGGAAATGCTGGCACCGGGTGGCGCGGGTGCGGGGGGAGCCATAGGGATGGCAGCGGGCCTGGGTTTTTCCGGCAACACGACAACGAAAATTGCTTAAACCTTGCTGAGGTTTGCCCGAACAGAACAATCGGATTTTGTGTCCAATCATAAAGAATAATATGATCCAACAAATTATGCCCATAATAAGGATAAATATGGCCCGTGGCTGTACCATCTACTCGCTCTTTCTCCCTCACAGAGTGGCTTAGCACTGAAGCTCGGGTTTTCAGGTCTGGGATGTTTTCAATCAAACTGTTCTAGGAATCCATGCCCATCTCTACTACGAGTACAAACTCATGCCCTTTTGCCCACAGAACGTTGTGTCCCTGGCCCTGACGTTGACTCTGTCTCTGGGAAATAAATAAACATATACTACATACATGTGTACAAACTCGTATAAGTATATTTTATGGCTGAACATTATTAAAACAAATTTATACGCATGTCATGTGTTTGTTTGGCCTTTGGAATCTTGTTGTGGCAGTTGGCTTTTTAATGGCCAACACAATTGCCGATTGCCGTGCCCGCCCAGGAGGCTGTTGCTCTGCCAATGGACCAAAGGACCTTGCTGCCAAATGTGCCCCATAAATGATTCCTGTTTGTGACTTGGCCGTGCCTGAGGGGCGACATTTTCATTTTCAATTGAAATTCCTTGAAGGCCTTTGATTTGCAGACATTTTAATTAAACTTTTTCAAATCTCCTGGTGCATCGATAAATTTGAGAGCAGTAAATGTGGCGAAGCCCTGCGCAGCATTGCACGGGCCCTGCTGCAGGCCACTAAATTGTGGCAGCAGCAGCAGGCTGCCATGGCACAGAGCCATCTGGCTCTCCCGAACCGCCAGCACAAAGCGTGTTGCGGCTGCTGTGACTGATGGCCAGGTAAAGCCTTCATCACAGGGATTACCCCGAGGCGAGGGCGATGGCGATGGCTGGCAGCTGCTTTAAACGAAAATTTTAATTTCAGTCGAATATCTATGTTCATCATTTTGGCCAACAAACAGAAAGTTGGCTCTACAGCCACAGCCCGATCTAGAGAGGGAAATTCACTTTTAATTATTTACGGCTAAACAGAAAGTTGGCCACAAGCAGAGTGGCCGCAGGAGACACTTTGTGTCCTGCGGACAGGGAAACTTTTTCTCAACTGCGCTGCCGCCTGCATCCCAGCAGAAAAGGGCGAAATATGGTTGGGGTGTCGAAGCGTTTGCGGGGCTTCCGGGGGCTCCCTTCCGTTTGCAATCCCATTACTTTAATGTGGGAAACGGCAACGGGAAGCGGAAGGAAAGGGCGAAACTTTTTAAATCTTTATTTATAAAAGCTTCCGCTGAGGCCTCAACTTTTCAGTGCCACGGTGCGAGGGGGCGAATGGAATCATTTTGACAGCCGCAGTTCTGCGGTCGTCCCCGAACTATGTGAACAAAATGTGTGCTAAATGCCTTGGGCAAACTTTTGCCCTCAACCAAGGCAGATATTTGGAGGCGGGGAGAACAAAAATAGGGCGACACACATACATGTGTACACACGAGAATATCCTTTGTGGCCGCTTAAATTGGATTATGTTGAAGACGTGAAAATTGTTCAGCTAATTGATAACATTTTGGGCGTTCCTTCCTCCATCCCACAGTGCATGCGCGCCTACGTGGAGTTCGAGATATCCGAGGGAGCCTATGAGATCTCCTGCCCGGACGCCAAGTGCCCGGCCCAGGGCGCAATCTCCGTTCCCGAGATCGCGAATCTAACCACAACGAATCTGCTGAAGAAGCACCATCGCTACCGTCTGAATCGAGGTATGAAGCACGCGTAATTCCGTCTCAATTACATCTCAAAACCAAGTATCCTTCTCCTCCACCGCCTACTCATAGAAATCGAGTTGGACAAGACACGCACCTGGTGCCCGCGGGCAGGCTGCGAGACCATCTGCATGGTGGGCGGAGCAGCGCATGGACAAACCAGCGCCATTTGCCAAATGGACGAGTCGCCATCGACTTCCCAGAGCTACACACCACAGCCGGACGCAGGCGGTGGCGAGGGCGGACCTACTCCAGGGGCAGCCGTACTCTCAGTGTCCGTGCACTGCCCCTCCTGCAAGGACGAGTTCTGTGCACTGTGCAAGAAGGCTGTAAGTGTGGGACTTCTTCACCGCCTAAGCCCAGCAGGCACTCATCCTTCTCTCCTTTGCCCAATCCTGCCATTTCAGTATCATCCGAACATTGGCTGCGAGGAATTCGGTCGCCGCCTGATTGCCGATGGCCAGGACGATATTGGCATTCCGTTCGACAACGAGCTCATCAAGTGCTGCCCCATGTGCGCGGTGCCAATCGAGAAGGACGAGGGCTGTGCCCAGATGATGTGCAAGCGCTGCAAGCACGTCTTTTGCTGGTACTGCCTGGCCAGTCTGGATGTGAGTGGCGGCGAGATGTGTTCTCGAGTCGGCGAGTAGCTAACGCTGTATATTTTCTGCTCTTAGGACGACTTCCTGCTGCGCCACTACGACAAGGGGCCGTGCAAGAACAAGCTGGGCCACTCGCGGGCCTCTGTTGTGTGGCATCGCGCCCAGGTCATCGGGATCTTTGCTGGCTTTGGGATTCTGTTGCTGGTGGCCTCGCCGCTACTTCTATTGGCTGCCCCGTGCATCATTTGCTGCAAGTGTCGCGGCTGCAGTGGCTCCAAAATTGACGAAGTGGATGCCGATCTGGAGGAGGAGGTCACCGCCTTGCAGGGCTAGGCAGAGGATCTCCTACGCGCAAGGTGTAGCATCAGGACGAAACGAAAAGAGACGAGACGAGACGTTAGGCGTTAGGCTTTAGGCTTCGACGGTTGCCACCTGTAAGGGCAGCTGCTGTAAATGCAATTACCGGTAGCATCTATTGTTAATGACGAGCAGCTTACGTACATTTACACTTATTTTAGTTATTATAATTATAATTGTATATGTGTTAACTAAATTGTGATATTTACAGTGATTCGATTTCTGATCTGAATCGACAAATTTGTTGAGAACCCATACAAAGACGCGATGCTTTCGATTCTTGCTGGGTTCTTTCTTTATATATTCTTTCCTCCCACTACTACCCGTATATACTCATGTACACACTATGTGCATGCATATACATACATACATACATGTGTATTTGACTAAATCAATCTGTATACATCATTAGGTCCTCTTTCTAGTGCGTAAGTTAGTCTAAATCTATTAGGGAGGGGTATGTTATGCCTCGTATTTCAACCTGTGCTTTTAATCACGCCGACAACCGATACCCCGAAACCACAAAAACCCGAAACCGCACCCACACATTCGCACCCAAAACACCTCTCTCAAGTATTACACATGCAAATAACGAATCCGAGCTCATTTCGGGTACATTTGTTCAACGGCTTGGCAATGCTTTTATCTACATACACACACACACACACAAACACACATACACATACATATATATAAAACAATATACTTGCATATATACTTGCATATATAGGAGGTGTATATGTCACTACTACTGTTTATTGAATGTATTTAAATGTAAATGTTATATGCAGCTAAAGCAAATGTACGACGACAGACAGACAGATTACTGCTGACGGAGCACTCGACAGAGCCCAAAGCCGGGCGTGTGCAGGCTGGGCTTGATTAATGTAAATTATTGAATTATTTAATGCATATACACTCAAATATACATATATCAAAATACGTTTAACATAATATGCGTGTATATTTCAAGGAAAAATATTTAAAATCTACTCTTAATGTGAACAACTACCGCGTATGCTGTTTCAAATAAAAATGTTAAAAGAAAACAACCCGAGCATTGATCTGGGTGGGTGGTGGGTGGTCAGGGCGTTAAGCTAAGCCTACCTACACCGAACATGTCGCCAATGCCAAAGGAACTTTCTGTGTCTTCAGCTACCGCCGCTCCATCATGAGCCAATCCATCCCTCTAGTAGCTCCTCGTCCAATCGGTTGGTCCAAGGGATGTGCTCCTCGGTGAGCAGTGGCAGCCACTGGCTGTCCTGCTGCTGCCCATAGCCATGATGCCGCTGCTGTGTCCACAATGTGGCGTCCCGCAGGATATAATTTCGGCCGCCCCTGCATTCATACTACGCCGAATCAAACACTGGGCTTCAGCTTCGAGACTCGTAAGTGAATCAGTATATAATTGTGGACAGATTTGAAAAATATCTACCTTCACAGGGGACTTGCATATGTAAGCTACGCTTTGCCACAAACCGAGTCGTAACCAATTTCCCCGCCAGGCGGAGTCCTATTCAAGCATTATCGAGGCGTCTTCGAGACAGACCGAGTCCTATTCCACCCACACAGAATCGTATCCCCGCAGGACAGAAGCGCACCTCTTGGAAGATGGGAACGTAACAAGCCATCGTCCCCCTTTCGACTTGGACATCGACGACAAGGACTTTGACTAGACTACTAGATTCTAGATAGATCACGTTGCTGTTAGGTTTAAGATAGATACAAATGTCTTCCTCTTTATTTATTTAGACTAAGTTAAGTTTTGATGAATAAAACTATTGAAAAATCATCCTTGCTCTATCCTTTATCGGGGGGAAATATTCCCATTACAAAAAGATCGGTTCACAAATAGCGGAAAAAACTAAATATTATTGATTGGAGAAAATGTCCTTGATCCTTGATAAGGACTCAAACAAATCAGGGACATTTTTCGATCACAGGAAGCCGTCGCACGCCTACATCGGCCGACAAAACTATAGAGTAGAGCCAGATTGGTGCAGGACCAACTGTCACAGGATCGCGAGGACCCAGACTGTCGAACGGCATCAAAATGTCCACTTCGAAAATCAGGCGGATTTTTTGAAAATTTAATGATGTAACCATCATGATTTTTTGCGAAAATCGTGAAAAAATGTATGTCCCTTTTTCCGATGGCAGTCGATTGGCAGGACTCTGTCGATCACGGAGAGGCATGCCACGCCCGGATCGGCTGCCGTATAGCAGAGATATAGCTTACAGAAAAAACCAGTATTTCAAAGATATGCAAATCCAAATCTTCGGAAGGCTATATCTCAGACAAATAGGGCCAGATCGGTGCAGGACCAACTGTCCCAGGATCGCGAGGACCCAGACTGTCGAACGGCATCAAAATGTCGACTTCGAAAATCAGGACGATTTTTTGAAAATTTAATGATGTAACCATCATGATTTTTTGCGAAAATCGTGAAAAAATTGATGTCCCTTTTTCCGTTGGCAGTCGATTGGCAGGACTCTCCCGATCACGGAGAGGCATGCCTCGCCCGGATCGGCTGCTGTATAGCAGAGATATAGCTTACAGAAAAAACCAGTATTTCAAAGATATGCAAATCCAAATCTTCGGAAGGCTATATCTCAGACAAATAGGGCCAGATCGGTGCAGGACCAACTGTCCCAGGATCGCGAGGATCCAGACTGTCGAACGGCATCAAAATGTCCACTTCGAAAATCTGGCCGATTTTTTGAAAATTTAATGATGTAACCATCATGATTTTTTGCGAAAATCGTGAAAAAATTGATGTCCCTTTTTCCGTTGGCAGTCGATTGGCAGGACTCTCCCGATCACGGAGAGGCATGCCTCGCCCGGATCGGCTGCTGTATAGCAGAGATATAGCTTACAGAAAAAACCAGTATTTCAAAGATATGCAAATCCAAATCTTCGGAAGGCTATATCTCAGACAAATAGGGCCAGATCGGTGCAGGACCAACTGTCCCAGGATCGCGAGGACCCAGACTGTCGAACGGCATCAAAATGTCGACTTCAAAAATCAGGACGATTTTTTGAAAATTTAATGATGTAACCATCATGATTTTTTGCGAAAATCGTGAAAAAATGTATGTCCCTTTTTCCGATGGCAGTCGATTGGCAGGACTCTGTCGATCACGGAGAGGCATGCCACGCCCGGATCGGCTGCCGTATAGCAAAGATATAGCTTTCAGAAAAACACAGTATTTCAAAGATATGCAAATCCAAATGTTCGGAAGGCTATATCTCTGACAAATAGGGCCAGATCGGTGCAGGACCAACTGTCCCAGTATCGCGAGGACCCAGACTGTCGAACGGCATCAAAATGTCCACTTCGAAAATCAGGCCGATTTTTTGAAAATTTAATGATGTAACCATCATGATTTTTTGCGAAAATCGTGACATAATTGATGTGCCTTTTTCCGATGGCAGTCGATTGGCAGGACTCTCCCGATCACGGAGAGGCATGCCTCGCCCGGATCGGCTGCCGTATAGCAAAGATATAGCTTTCAGAAAAACACAGTATTTCAAAGATATGCAAATCCAAATCTTCGGAAGGCTATATCTCTGACAAATAGGGCCAGATCGGTGCAGGACACACTGTCCCAGGATCGCGAGGATCCAGACTGTCGAACGGCATCAAAATGTCGACTTCAAAAATCAGGACGATTTTTTGAAAATTTAATGATGTAACCATCATGATTTTTTGCGAAAATCGTGAAAAAATGTATGTCCCTTTTTCCGATGGCAGTCGATTGGCAGGACTCTGTCGATCACGGAGAGGCATGCCACGCCCGGATCGGCTGCCGTATAGCAAAGATATAGCTTTCAGAAAAACACAGTATTTCAAAGATATGCAAATCCAAATGTTCGGAAGGCTATATCTCTGACAAATAGGGCCAGATCGGTGCAGGACCAACTGTCCCAGTATCGCGAGGACCCAGACTGTCGAACGGCATCAAAATGTCCACTTCGAAAATCAGGCCGATTTTTTGAAAATTTAATGATGTAACCATCATGATTTTTTGCGAAAATCGTGACATAATTGATGTGCCTTTTTCCGATGGCAGTCGATTGGCAGGACTCTCCCGATCACGGAGAGGCATGCCTCGCCCGGATCGGCTGCCGTATAGCAAAGATATAGCTTTCAGAAAAACACAGTATTTCAAAGATATGCAAATCCAAATCTTCGGAAGGCTATATCTCTGACAAATAGGGCCAGATCGGTGCAGGACACACTGTCCCAGGATCGCGAGGATCCAGACTGTCGAACGGCATCAAAATGTCGACTTCGAAAATCAGGCCGATTTTTTGAAAATTTAATGATGTAACCATCATGATTTTTTGCGAAAATCGTGAAAAAATTGATGTCCCTTTTTCCGATGGCAGTCGATTGGCAGGACTCTCCCGATCACGGAGAGGCATGCCACGCCCGGATCGGCTGCCGTATAGCAGAGATATAACTTTCGGAAAAAAGCAGTATTTCAAGGATATGCAAATCCAAATCTTCGGAAGATTATATTTCAGACAAATAGGGCCAGATCGGTGCAGGACCAACTGTCCCAGGATCGCGAGGATCCAGACTGTCGAACGGCCTCAAAATGTCGACTTCGAAAATCAGGCCGATTTTTTGAAAATTTAATGATGTAACCATCATGATTTTTTGCGAAAATCGTGAAAAAATTGATGTCCCTTTTTCCGTTGGCAGTCGATTGGCAGGACTCTCCCGATCACGGAGAGGCATGCCTCGCCCGGATCGGCTGCTGTATAGCAGAGATATAGCTTACAGAAAAAACCAGTATTTCAAAGATATGCAAATCCAAATCTTCGGAAGGCTATATCTCAGACAAATAGGGCCAGATCGGTGCAGGACCAACTGTCCCAGGATCGCGAGGATCCAGACTGTCGAACGGCCTCAAAATGTCGACTTCGAAAATCAGGCCGATTTTTTGAAAATTTAATGATGTAACCATCATGATTTTTTGCGAAAATCGTGAAAAAATTGATGCCCCTTTTTCCGATGGCAGTCGATTGGCAGGACTCTCCCGATCACGGATAGGCATGCCACGCCCGGATCGGCTGCCGTATAGCAGAGATATAGCTTTCAGAAAAACACAGTATTTCAATGATATGCAAATCCAAATCTTCGGAAGGCTACAATAAAATTTAGTTTTCTCCGCTATTTGTGAACCGGAATATTTCCCCGATAAAGGATACAGCAAGGATGATTTTTTTTTTTTCAATAGTTTTATTCATCAAAACTTAGCTTAGTATAACTAAATAAACAAGTGGTATCTAAATATATGGATGGGTATATGCTTAACAATATCCTAACAACAACGAGATTTATTTAAAGTCTAATAGCCCGCGTAGCCCTTCCCTTGGTCTTTATAGTCGAAGTCCTTGTTTTCGATGCGTAGATGGAAGGATGATGATGGCTTCTTATTTTCAGATCTTGAAGGGGTGCGCTTCTTTTCTGCTGGGATACCCTTCTGTCTGGCTGGAAAGAACTCGGTCTGTCTCGAGTACGAATCGGTAGTGCTTGGATAGGACTCCGTCTGGCGGAGGAAGTCAGATACGACTCGTTTTGTGGTAAAGCGTAGGGTACATATTTATGTAAGTCCCCTGTGAAGGAAGATACATTTTAAAATATATCCACAATTATATTGATTCACTTACGAGTCTCGACTCTCTCGTGTATAATCTTTTAAACCACAAAATGTATCCGCTGAATACAACTAGTCCAATACATCTATCGTCTCCGCTTCACAATGGAACTGAATTATGTACATATACCATAACTATACCTCTACTCCAGTTTCGGATACAAGGATGTTCCTTTTCATTGGTGCAGATTACAAAAATTAAATTAATTCCTTCAACTAATGGAAATATTTCACACAAAATATTACAATTCGTTTGAATTCGATTAATAAATGTAATCATTTAATCGATACCCAACGGCCTTTTGTCTAATTTGACTGTTTTTAGTATATTTTGAAGCAATTATTTAAAATAAGCCAGTCATACCCTGGGGGAAATGGATGTTATAGAATTGTGAATATGTTTGTCTTCCAAGGCTCAGTAGGTATCAGGATCGACATAAATATACACAAGATACTAATAATAAACATGAATATGTCTAAAGAATATCAATTTGAGAAAAGGTCTTAATAAATTACGTTTGATCTACATATAAAGTTAGCGAAATAGGGTGTACAAAGGCCTATACACACATCACGTCTTCGAATACCAGCAACATTGCGACTCTTTTTTTTGTTGAACTATTTTGTTTAAACCTTTTTTTACAATAAATACAATAAAAGCAAGAACTGAAAACTAACCAATTGTGTAAAAAATTGATGCATTAATTGGATAAAACTATGATGGCATGGCTAAATATTCTATATAGCTAGTAATATTCGTCGGAATATCAAAAACGAGGAATATGTAAAAAGAACTTGAATTCGTCAGTATATTTGCGGTATATTTTTAAAATGAGACGGTATATTTGGTATATTTATGATAAATCCGCGGCCACCTTGTTTTCTAAAATCTGTTAAAATCTGAAATAAATCCTGTTTTTCTGTTTTTTTCGAGGACAACGAGGCTCTATAAGGTTCCTCTGGCAGCATGGAAGACCAGGCATGCCCGCGGTGCAAGACCACCAAGTACCGGAATCCCTCGCTCAAGCTGATGGTCAACGTTTGTGGCCACACGCTCTGCGAGTCGTGCGTGGACCTGCTCTTTCTCAAGGGATCCGGGGCATGTCCGGAGTGCATGGTACCACTGCGCCGCAACAACTTCCGGGTGCAGCTCTTTGAGGATCCCATGGTGGAGAAGGAGGTGGACATCAGACGGCGCATCTTGCGCGACTACAACAAGCGCGAAGAGGACTTTGGCACGCTGGAGGAGTACAACGACTACCTGGAGGAGATCGAGGACATTGTGTACAACCTGTGCAACAACATCGAGATCATTGAGACGAACAAACGTATTGAGGCGTACAAGCGAGACAACCGTGAGGTGATTCAGCGCAACAAGACCCGAGTGGGCCGCGATGAGTCTGCCCTAGAGGAGATGCTCGAGCTGGAGCGCGTTCAGGAAGAGTCCCGGAAGAAGGAGCTCGATGAGCTGGAGACCGAGCACAAAAAGAAAAAGGCCCGTGATAAGCAGGCCCTCATCGAGGAGCTCATGTACAGCGGCAAGGATGCTGCCCAGATTGTGACAGAATTTGCCGAAAAGGCAGAGAAGCAGCGCGAGGAGGAGAAGCAGCTGCCGCCGCCGAAGCTGTCGAACGAGTTCTCCACGGGCATCAAATTTGGCCAGACGGCAGATCCAACCCTGATTCCCGTTCCCAAGTCGGAAGAGGGTCCGCTCTTTGTCTACGAGCCTTTGATCGCCATCACAGATGGTCCCACTCCACCGCCAACTAACGAGATCGAGTCATTGGGCTACATCTCCCACATACGGGCCGAGACACAGCAGGAGAATGCCGGCGGATTCACCGCAACCATGGCCTGTGAGCGTGCCCTCCAGGAAGCGCTGCAGGGTCTCTTTTACACCCCCACAGCTGGCGTGGCAGTGGGTATATGAGGAGACCAGCCTGACTGCCAACTGCTTCGGAAGCACGATAGGATGACAGAACCATAGCACAGCACGCTTATTTGTTGAACAAATGTGTCCTATATAATCCATTCATCTAACCGTAATATACTTAATATACTATAATGATTACAATTTACTTATTTTAGGTAAGAATACATTATTGGGAATAATACATACGACACAACTCCGCCAAATGCGGTATCGGAATGAACCCAGAAGCCAGATTCGGCGTGCGAGAGGTTTCTCATTTGATTACAGACTTGGTTTATTAAATACTTGCAACAGTACATATACATAGGCGTAGTACATATATATCCTAGATAATCATACATCGGGAATAATGTAGGGGGGGTTTCTTTATACAATATACAGATAAATTATATGGTAGTTCAACGAGTAGCTCGTCGCATTCTAGATCTACTTGAACAGTAAGAGGTAAATATGTTTTGCGATCGTGCCACAAGCGAGATTATTGGACAAATACATGATGCATGCCTGATGAATGGGGATTGGGAAATGATCGAAGATTACAGAATGGGCGGTGCGGTGTGGATGATGGTAATGAGTGCGATATTCAGATATGGCTTCTAATACATTTCAAATGTTTCAACTTAACTACGATGACTCATGACTTTCGATTCGTTTAGATGTGGGGGTTAAGGGTTCCATCTCCAGCCAGGACCAAGCAGCGGCTTCTCGAAGGGATGCCTGTGGAATGTGGAAGCAACTGCTGGGGACAAACAATTGGCAGATCGTGATTAGTTCACATACGCTTAGTTAGATGATAGCATAACATTTAATTTAGACGTTAATTTGGTCTTTATAATCTAATTTAAAATGTTAACATTTAGTAATAGGGTTTTTGCACACGCCTTTCGTTGATTATAGATAGCTAGAGTTAGAGTGGTTTGTTGCTTACAACGACGTCGGGGCCCGGCGGGGCTATGATTGTTTGCCATACTGATAACTAATGATACTTATCCCATTCTTGTTTTGATTTCACTAGTCGATTTTATAGTCGCGTCCGAGTGCACTTGGGTGTGGAGTCTCCTTTGTGGAGCTATGTAAGTTTCCCTAAAGCTAGCTAACGTTTAAGCAAATCAGTTTCTTGGCGCTGTTGGATGGTTTATGTGGATGACCCCGCTTCTGCTCGGGCAGTGCCGATGCCTTCTACTATTCCGATGTGGCTGCTCCCTTGGCTGTGTGTTTCTGTATATTTCTGTTCTTCTGTATATCTGAATTTCTGTGTCGGCATTGTTTGGTGTTTCTGAATGTTTCTGTTTCTGTTTCTGAAGCAAACAGCAGCAGCAGGCAGTAGTAATAAATTGCAACGTTAACTAAACAGAGTCATCTGTAATAAACAAGAGAATACATGATGAGTTATTAGTCCGTACATTATTCGATTGAGATCACTCCGTCCGTACGCACCGTGGTACCACCATTTAGTCTTTTTGGGATTTTTATTGCAGGTTTTAACGTAGAGCGCGTTGTCTGGAGGACGCTTCTTCTCGCGACAGCTGCTCAACATGGAAGCTATGCTAAGGCACACCGATTGCACCGACAGCGCCGGCGACCAGTCCTCTGTCAGAATGGACAGACAGATGTGTCCATTGCTGTAGACATGTGGGTGCACGGGTATATTGTTGCCAATAAAAGTCACCTGGAAATAGACAAAGGACAGTCAGTGTTTTCCGCGCTTTGTTTCATATTGCGTCGTTCGCTCGTACCTCAGGCGAATCGAAGGGATATTTATTGTTAAATTTGAACAGCAACTGGAAGTCCTCGCCATCGTAAAGGGTGCCCTCGAAACCTTTTATGTTTAATTTCCATCTGTAATCGAGACCAAAGTTTTGTGAGTATTGTAAGTGTCACCCAGTGAGAGCAAGAGCCCAACAATTGCGGGCTTTGTTGTCATAATCGCAAAAACTGTTCAGGCCGCTGCGCTGCGTTTTTGCTTTCATAATGAGCCTGTATGAAACCAGTTTCAGTTTTCGCTGAACTTGGCCTACTCCGGCTCGGCTGCACTTACTCGGATAAATTCTGCTGTACGCTTTCGGTGTCGACAGTGACACCCGGCGGCGGCTCCTTGATCAGGGACATCAGCTCTTTGTGAAGCCGGCGCTGTAGAGTACAAAGGAAAGAACGAATTAGTGAATGACTTTGGTAGGTGGCATGCCAGTTCCACCTCTCCTCCCCTCCCCACACCATTTATCTTATCGAAAAACACACCTTCAGCCCAGGCCACATTTTTTTTCCTTTCTTTTTTTTTGCACATAGGAATTGCGCTTTGTGCTCTAGAGTTCTCGAAAACCCATTTCAGCCCACCTTATCCCTGCGCCATTTCTCTTTTGGCTTACAAACGTCAATAGTCGCTATATACATACTTAGTCTGGTACCTAGTACATAGTATATGGTATATGATAAGATAAAAACGAATGTCACTGAAATTTATAGAGCTTTCAATTGTTTTTCCGTCTCCTGCCCATTAGCTCGCCCTCCCTTATGGACTACGGTCATTGGAATACCTACATACACTCGTACTCCCATTTAATACAGATTCAATATGGTCTTTGATAAGCGCAATTCTGCATACTACGTGTTAGGGATAGCCAGGAATATGAGGAATCACACCGATTTCCTGGAACCTACCCATACAATACAACTCATTCAATGACGCAACCGCAGCAGAAAACTGTGTACATACGGAATGTACATATGTACATAGATGTGTAATTCCCCGCTGATATCCAACTAAATGCATTCGGGCAGACATTAAATCCCGATCCCATGGGCTGGTCAAAGTTCAACCTTCTCGCTCGTTCGGTCTTTGGGTACTTGCCTCCCAGCGCGAGTTGTCCAGCTGCAAGGGCTTGCCGCATTTGGAGACGGGCGGCGTTTTCGGTTCCTTGGGCTCGGTTATTATTTCCGATTTTGGTATTTTGTCTTTTGATTTCTTGAATAACTTCAGCATATTGCACTTTTTGTTTAGTCTGAGAATGTTCTCACAATTGTTCACAATTTCGAATGAGACTGTTTGCCGCTCACTATTCACTTTTTCTCCGTTTCTCTCTCTGTCACTTTTCACAGGTTTCTGCTGTCTAGATAAACTTCAACTTTTAGTTCGGTTTTTCCGCTTTTGTTTCAAATTCCCCCTTTGGACCGCACAGCTTTTCCCAGGGTACCACGGGCGTGCATTTTATTTGCTTTCCAATTGGGCTTTCTAGTCGGACGAGAACCGCCAAGTGCGCCAACGTTCGTCGGACGACTGCAGGAAATCGTCGAGAGACTTGCGGGAGAGACTGCAAGGCGAGGCGCTTCGCCATGACGGCGCGACGTGTTTGCTGGTGTGCGTATCCGTCGTCGCCGACGCCAACGGCAACCCAACCCCCGCCCCACCCTGCCGCGTGCTGCAAAATACATATACATATATATATTTGCACTATCGAAAATGGGAATTCGCAGGGGCAGTGGGGAATATGGGGAGGTGGGGGCTGGGGGCTAAGGCTGCTGCTGTTGTGCTGCCAACAGACAGACCAAACTAGTTTGTAATACTCGTAATGCGAACAAGTTGCCGCCACAGCTGGTTGGTCTCTCGCTGATCACGAGATGGTCGCTCTCTGCCCCCCTTCCTCTCCGTATAGGCAGCAGTGCTTATCGGGGCACGCAGGCATTACCTGATAAGGATTTCGATTAGATAAGGCCAGGAATAACATTGCCAGCGCTTAACAAAAGGTACAAAACAGGCAAGGGGATGTAGTGCGTCGCGTACGTCAATGGGGCAGGCATTTCAATTGATGCAACAATTAAATAGTAGCCGCTGCCAATTGAAATGAAGACGATCGGCAATTGGCCTGGAGATGATCATTTACACAAGCTGCAGCAGGGCTCTCCCCGCAATGCCACGATTATCTAATTGGCTCAGAGAACACTTTAGCCAGATGCGAATTAAAGCAGAGACGTTAGATAGTAATGTAATGCATAGGTCGTATTCATAGCCCCCCGCCGACTGGGAGGGTGCCCCAAGTAGGCCAGGCCAATAAACACATGCCTGGCTGTGCGGGGGTGGGGGTTACTCGAGTTTATTTTAGACCCCATCAAATAAAGAAAGCTCAACAACACTAGAGAACGGAGCGATACGAGGAACCACCTAAAGCAATAAACAAATAAAATGCAATTCGATCTAATGCCAAAGTCTGGGAAAAACCACTCGCTGGTATGGGATTGGATGGGATATAAAGTAGGCCCTAGCCGCACACTCAGCAAAATCTATAGCCAATAGTATAGTCTGGCAGATTCCTGAACAATAAAAAGACCCAAACAGCCCCAACGCAGAGGGTAAACAAATAAACAAACGCTGACAGACACAGCAATGGGTTGGCGGGCGGTGGGGTGTTAAGGGTGCGGTGGAGAGGCTTTTGTTTCTTATTTTTTACGTCGTTTTCGAGGAATATTTTTTTGGTAAACAATTCTCGATTCGCTGGTGGCTGATGAAAAAGCGTGCCAAAAACAGATGCGGTAGAAAAGTATTCGTGGCAGATAAACTTTTCCACAGCTGATAAACCCCGAAATCGGGTGCTGGGAATCTCTGAGTGGGATGGGCGGGGGAGGCGGAGATGATTCACTTTCACACCCAAAAGTGTTTCAAAAATTGGATTCGTCCGGCCTTCGGAACTGAATCACGATAGTCCCAGTCCCTAGGGTAGACCGGAATAAACAAGGCAGAAGAACCACTTTAGCCAAATTGTGCAACATTCACATTCCCCAAAGCCATATAAAACGATTTCCGGAACAAGAAAATTGCTAAGCGCATTACGGAAGGGCCTGACAGGCGGCAGCATGGGCAGGGCAGGGCTGGGGCTTGTATTTGTATTTGTACTTTTGCTTTTGTTTTGTTGTTCTTTTTAGGTTGCTGTTGCAACCTTAAACTTGCTGCTAAATGCTGTTCCTTTTGCCCTTCACCAGCAATCGATAGGGCTACGTCATCATTAAGCCGCTCTGACGTCAGAGATCGTGTTTTTTCGGGATATAAATAATCGGAAACCTGATGCGCCAGTACCCAGCTCTACCTGCCTGGAGAGCGCGACATGTGTCACTGTACCAGCCCGCAGCGGTACCGCCACGTTCAGGTTGGATGACAAAGCAGAGGCAACAAGTACCAGTCTAGTAACGAGTCTCCGCCGCCGTGTCCGTCCCTGCCCCTGCCCCTGCCACGGCGCTTCTAGAGCATCAACTGAGCTGATTGCCTACGCTTCCATGTGTGTGCTCCAATCGTGAGCTATCAACGCGAGGACGTGCTGTTGGTGTCAACACGTGAAAGGCGCGTGCAAGTGCTATAAAATGCGATCAAAGGGGAGGAGCAGCGAGTGGCAGACACACTTCAATTGAAATTAAATGAAATGCATTACAATTTGCAAGCAGAGCTCTGTAAAATCACGGCATTGTACAGCAACAATGATTAATTTGTGTGTTTTATTGACAATTGAAAAGATGAGCTTCCGTAGCACGGACCGGCCACGGTGGATGCAGCCACTGCCGGGAAACACAAGTCTGTCGATCAATGGAAGGATCATTGAAAGTTGTGTGACAAAACTGTCACAATGATCGGAGAATTGCGCAGGCAAATAGGTCTTTCCTCTCTTCTGTAATCACCAGTGCCTAGATCTCGTCACGTTTTCTGCGGTCACTGACGGCGATAACCCGCCCCCGAGCTGGCGATTCCGTTAAAGGCAAACAGATTCGGCGAGATGATGGGCCACAGATGGGGCTGAATTCGACCGAAGTGTTATTTCAACTCTCTCGTTAATCGCTCATTGTTTCTGGGTAGCGCGTCAGTGGCAAACACTTCCTTATTAGTATTCCTCATTGTCTCAGATCTCAGATCGTGCCCGTCCCATGCATATTTCATGATGGATAGCAGCAGATCAACAAGAGCCCGTCAATCTGGATACTGGGCACGGCCTAAGAATGCGGACGACTTCTTAATTATCGACCAGAATGGCATTGGAGCGACATAAACTGGTTCTCAAGACTTGGCAGCACCCGTTTTATAGTTTGATAGTGATAGATATATACAATTTGGCTATTTATAAAGTGGCGCGAGGCGTAACTAGACGGTGGGAGCGCTCTGTAATTAATATTTTGAACGCGTGCCAAGATGTCACCCAGGGAAAACGAATGAATGCGTGTGGTCGGGAGCAAAACGGATCAAAAGTGGCGACAAAATCTCTCGCAGACGCTAGGAGCACCTCTCAACCGACTGCCGACTGGGTTTCACGTCACAATATCATAAAACGGCGCGTGCGGATTCGCGTGTCAACGAAAACTGACTGAAAGCGATGGACGCAGAGTCGGATGCGATGAGCTTTTATTTTCGGCAAACTGTGTGCGCCTGTGTGCGTGCTGAGAGGCGTGTCGCAGGGCACCCGATATGAGAGCATATGAGAGTGGGAGGCAATGGGGCGTACATGCCGGCAGTGAGGCACTGCACAGGATCGATGGACAAGGCAGACCCAAGGCTGCGTTGCTGGCGCATTGTTTACCGGGCATAAACAAAGTGCCAGCAGGAATGTGCAGTCGGTGCACTTGGTTGCATAAACAGAGAGCACAGGCCAAGGCTCATGCGGGTCGATTTGTTGATCCGTATTCGTGGGTGGCAATTAGCGGGTCGGCCGAAGTGACCTCAATGTGCAGAGGCCGTGCGGCACGACGGGACAAAGACGCTCTTTCATTGCCGCCGCAGCGCCTGCTGCAATTATATAATAATCAAAGACGAGATGAGACTCGGTCGCCACTCAAGGAAGCTGGAATGCTGGGCTTTCGCCGATAAGCCGCCTCGCACTTCTCGAATGCGTCACTCTGCGCCCAGGTCGCCGAAACGATAAGGTGACGTTGAACCTTGTGCAATGTGTGCGGAAGAGGAACGGGACGGTCCGATGGAGGTGGGCGAAGGGCGGATCCCCGCAGAAACCAGACGCCGGCAGCAGGCAAACATTTGCACAAGTGCGAGTGCGCGGGGAGGGAGGACCGTCCGCCGCTCCATGGAACACTCACCTCACTCGGCGACATTGCCGTCATGTTGCTCTTTGTGATATCCGTGGTGACGTGACGCCGCTGGGACTCCTTCTCCGCAGTGCTGTCGCTGCCACGGGACTTCAAACAAAACGGGGTTCCCGTTGTGGCGTAAAACAGTTTTTTATTCTTGTTTTTGTTGTTGTTTTTCGAAAAAAGATTAGGAATTGAATATTGTTGAGCGTCCAGTGTGACCGTTTTGGCAGTGCTGTGAAAAGTCTCAAAGTCTCGGCGTATGAAAATATCGAGAGCGCGCTGAGAAAGCAGCTGTTTTTTTGAGACTTATTCGCTTATTAAATATAACATTGTGTTGTATTGCTTACTCCCAGCACACTGAAAACGAGAAATATTCTCACTGATTTTGATTCTAGTCCGGATTTATATTGCTTGGACGGTTTTAAAGTCATAGTTTCTTCGTCAGCTATCGCTATCGATAGTCGGTAAACATAAACAGCTGATTGGGTTCAATTTAAATCTAGTTAATTTACTTGTTTGATAATGTTTATTTAATTAAAGTGTCGTCCGATTCCTATTAGATACGATGAATGAAGCGGCTCTCTTTTCTCGGCCAATCGAATAGAGACTATGAGGTGGTGGAATTGATAAACACAGAGAGAGGATTTATATAGAACTATATACTGATAGAATGGACTGATAAGCTGCACTCACTATCTTAATTAGTGCCGGCGCCGTTAAATACTTGTGCTGCAAGTTGCTGCCCCACAGTACCGGATTGGAGAATCAATCATGCAGTTCGGAGTCTTAGGCAGCGGCATAATTGGCCTCACGACCGCCCTGGAGCTGCAGCAGCAGTTTCCCTCGGCGCAGGTCTCAATAATTGCCGACCGCTTCAACGAGGACACAGTCAGCTATGTGGCGGCGGGCATCTTCCGGCCAGGCACCAGTTTCATGGGCCCCACCCAGGAAATTACGCAGTAAGATTGCCTGTTGCAAGGTCATGTCCAGCACGGCCTTCTAATCCTTCTGCCGATTGCAGGCAATGGATGACGGACGCCTTCAACTACTGGGATGAGCTGCGCCGCTCCAAGGAGGCTCCTCTGGCAGGGGTGTGCCAGCTGTCGGGCTATATCTACTCGCGCACCTCCCCCTCCATCGTACGGGTACGTTGCCAACCGTCTATCAGCGATTCTTATCTGAGTTGGCTTAATTCGATTAACGAGACATTGCCGTTTCTTGCTCTTTGCTTCAGAACCACTTCATTGAGAAGCTTCTTCCCGTGTACAGACGCGCCACGGATGAAGAGCTGAAGCTGTGCCAGGGCGGCTGGAAGTACGGCTCCTTTTTCACCACCTGCTTGACTGAAAGTCGCCTCTTCCTGCCGTATGCCACGAACAAGTGAGTGCCGGAATGCCGGAGCATAGCTCAATCATTCTCTAACAAAATTCATTCGCAGATTCCTTGAAAACGGCGGGCAAGTGGTTCGCCAGCATGTGAAGAACTTCTTCGATGTGCAGCAGAACTTTGATGTCCTGGTCAACTGCACTGGCATGGGCGCCAAGGAGCTGTGTAATGATCAGCACCTGGTGCCCATTCGGGGTCAGGTACTGAAGGTGCGAGCGCCGTGGATCAAGACGGCCTTCTATGGTGACTATGACACCTACGTGCTGCCAGGCTTCGAGACGGTCACCTTGGGGGGATGCCGGCAGTTCGATAGCTACAACACAGAGTGGTGCAAGTACGACAGCATGGCCATCAAGGAGCGTTGCTACGACCTGCTTCCGAGCCTCAAGAAAGCGGAGATTGTCAGGGAGTGCGTGGGACTTCGTCCGCACCGTGCGATCGTTCGCGTGGAGCCGGAGCTGGTCACGAATGCGGAGGGAAGGCGCCTGAAAGTTGTTCACAACTACGGACACGGAGGGTACGGCGTGACCACAGCTCCTGGAACAGCCAAATACGCCGTGAAGATTGTACGCGAAATGCTGGCTGGGAATAGCAAGCTGTAGGCTCTAGAGCGCTGGTGCATTGTTATTTGTTGATCATTAAACTGTTAAACTGTTTACAAGCCCAATCAAAGCCACGCAGAATCTTTGAACCTTTTTTGTGGCTCTTTACTTTGGATATTAAACCATAAACCGATATAAACTGTTGACGATACCCGATAAGATTTCAAATTGTTGGCGCTACGCCAATGGCCAATGGCCCACTGTGCGCATGTCCGCCCCGCCGCATGAATGGAAAGCTCGCCTGCAATTCGCCGCAAAAGCTACGCCCACACACATTTCCGTCCCCCGGACCAGACCCAGGAAAACAGCCCCCCAATCGATTTTCACTAGCAGATAGAAGGGACAGTCAGTAGCAGTGAGCAGTCGATGTGAAACAGTTATCTTATGAAAACGTATACAAAACTTTCCCATATTCGCCGTAGCAGCCAATTCGCCGTCCGAGAGCTCCAAATTTTTTCCCTCACTTGAGTCCTGCGAAGTCGACGTGTCGATGCGATATTTCTCGTTTGGCGAAAAAAGGTGAAACAGTTGAGAAAACAATTGAAAGGCATTCGCACTGCCATTTTGAAGCGACGCCTGAATAATTGAACGACTGCAGTGCTGTGGCAAGACGTGTGGGTGCGCGTACGTTCAATAATTGATTGGGTAACCGTAAACAAATAGCAGCAGCACGGACCAGGACCCTACCGTATGTTAGGCCAGTGCCAAGGCTAACTTCCAATACCTCACGACTGGACGGCAGCTAGAGCTAGAGCCCCAGCCACATTATCGATTTGCGTATATGTGTATGTCTGCGAAATAGCAGTGTACACCTAAACACCTATACACCTGTGCACATACTCCCACACGCACGCACATACACACACACACACACACACGTACTGCACGTCAACGGCAAGAACTTTGACGCACGGGATCTCGTGGTATCCGCACAGAGGAGCAGAAGCAACCGCATCAACCTCAAGACGCAGTAAGTGCCATCCATCCCCCCCCCCCCCCCCCCACCCCACACCCACATCCCACATGCCACATCCCATCGTAATATTAAGTATACGCCGCATTGCACTCTAATGCGTGGGAGATCGATTGCTTGGGTGTCAGTGAAAGTTACCGCCGACCGCAGACCCGACACGAAAACCCCAGAACACAGGAAAGTAGCTTGCTCAATTTGCTTTTGGTGTCTCTAAAACTTGAAGCTTGCCCCAATTAAAAGTTTGAGCTGCTGGCTAGGGAAGCCAGGGAGCGCAGCCCCCCAACGGAGCTCAATAGTTTGGTGGGAATGCAGCTTCTGCCCACCGAACAGCTGCTAAGCCATTTGAAAATTGAAGCACGAATGAACAGCAAGGCAGCAGAAGGCATAGCAGGAAGAGCAGGAAGAGGAGCAGCCGCAGCCACCCCTCACAGAGGGAAAACAACAGAAAAAAATCGATAATCACACGAAGCCAGGCAGATAAAAACATTTCCACACTGCCTCTGATAAGAGGCCCCTGCCTATTGACTCGTGCACGTCTGTCAGTCTCTGTGCCTCCGGCTCCTGCCACACTCCGGTACGGCCCTCTGATGAGCCTGGAGAGGGTTCTGCTCCTTGACAGCCTCAGCCGGGAACATTGGCTTGGGGCTGTCCTTTTGCCAGGGCCTTGACGATGACGCGCGCACTCCTCTGTGGACCCCAGAGCATGAACCGTCGTTCATCAGAAATCTGACAACATTTTGCCGCTGCGCAACTTTTGATTTAAGCGGGAGCGGTGGGAGTACGGGAAGGAGAAGCAGAATCAGAAACAGAAGCCATGGCAGAAGGAAGATAAAGTTGTCTATACACACAAATTATCGACACAATGTCGCGGCTTCCAAGGAGAGGAGCTGCCTTGCATATGGAAATTGTGAAAGGCGAGGGACGAGTAAATGGAAAAAAACTGTAAGCTGAAACTGAACTGCTGTCGCCGAGCGAGTCCACGCCATGGCAAGGCTGAAACTTTTCAAGGACGAGCGACCAGCGCTTCCCCCTCGGATTCTTATTTCTCGTGCCCACTCCCCTGCCACTGACGTGACAGCCATACCAACAGGCACAGCCGTACCAACAGAATGCCATCTTGTATACTTGTGGGTCAGCTGTAGGTAACAGACTCGCAGGGAAGCGGCCGGAAGAGAAGCCTGAGCATGTCCTCTCTGTTGTGTGCTGCAACACTTTCCCCGGATGACCTCCCAGCAGTCCCCTCGGGGTCCAAGTCGAAAGTACACAAGGCAGGAGGGCTATGATTCAGAAATATAACCGCAACTGTTTAATCCATACACGCGCAATTCAATTAGGTCTCGGGACAAATAGCAGTTGGCCTTGGATCCAGCCTGTGTCCGGATCCGTGTGATGAAAACAAACTAAACAACAATTTAATAATTAAACGGCCCTCTCCTACTCCCCTACTCCCCTACTCAATCTGGCCGTGGTACACGGGGATGTTGATCCCATCGCCCACGCCGCAGATGGCATCGGCGTTGCAGCTGGCCTGCTGTGCAGATCCTGGTCCCCCCACCGGATGAGGGGCGCACATGTCGCTGGATGTGGAGTCGCTATGGATGACAATGGCTGTAGAGCTGTAGTCCAGCTGCGTCGGCGTCAACTGCTCCTTGCGCAGGAATGTGGTCAATGACATGTTCGTGGAGTCGCTAGTTATCACGGTGGTCGTGTCCATGGACTCTATCAGCTCGCCCTCTTCCTCAGAACCAGCAGGGGCCGCTCCACGCTGCTGCTCCTGCACCTTTTCAACGGGTTCTTCCTTCTGTACGTCCGCCGCCTGCTGCTGCTGCTGGCAAAGGCCGACTACTGGCACGCTGGCCAGTTTGTTGGTATTCATGGGACAGAAGCAGTTTAGGTTGATGCTTCTGTTACCCAGGGCCTGGACGGGACGGGAGTTCCGTGTGATGGGAGTGATACCGTCGTGGCTTAGCAGCTGGCGGAAGTGGCGCAGCTGGAAGTCACTGATGGCCAGCGTCTCGGGGAAGATGAACCACTCGGTTCCCTCGTAGAACGGGGGTCGGGTCAGCGACCCACCGTAGGAGTAGAAGCCAGCCCGGAAGGCGGGCATTAGGTAGCAGAGTGGAAACGGTGATATATTCACGGCCTTTCCGGGCTGCTGCACCTGGCGCAGATTCTGAACGAGGGGGTCCAGGAACGGGTTGTGGGCCGACAGCTCAAACATGTAGGCGATCGTCAGGAGGTCGTAGCTGCTGGTACAGGACCGCGACATCCCGGAGCTGGCACGGTGCATCACCTGCATCTCCATGGGGAACTTGCGATGGTTGAAGGTGTGCTCCGAGCCCTCGCTGTTGCACCAGCCCCAATGGAAGCGCACCTCCACGAACGTGTAGCTGGCCAGAAGATCGGCTCCGCTGATGGTGGGCGTGTTTCCGTGGAACTGGGCCCGCAGGATCAGGGTGTGGCCCGTGTTCTCCACCTGAATGTTCGCCGGCAGTTCGTCGTAGTGGTTCCAGTTGAGCAGCTCCCTGATGGCCATGGGGCTCAGCTGCCGGTCATCGATATTGATGGGGCTCTGGAAGCCAGCCCCGTCCAGTCCTTCGAGTCCCCCCTCTCGCTGATCAGCCATGTCGTACCAAGAGTAGCAATCGTCTGTGGCCAGATCCGAGTGTGTGATCCAAATCTTCGGGTACTGCAGAACCCAGCGGAAACGCTCCCGCAGTATCTTTTGGCCCGTCTGTTGGGCGAGGCCCAGCACCAGGCAGAGTACGCTGGCCAGCAAAGGATGCTGCACCATCTGGCAGAAGCCCTGGCTAACGAGCAGCCAGAACAGCTGCATCACGAGGCCAATCAGATAGCCGAGCGTGGTGTCGAACATTTTCCTATTCTGAGAATAGACCGGAACACACAATAGGCATAAAGTTACACAACAGTTGTAAACGTAAACGTACCAAGAAATCAGTGAAGCAAAGTTGAAAAGGTTGACGCAATCTTTTCTTTTGGTTTATATATTGTTTAATATTTTCAGAGTCGACAGCTCGTGCGGGTCCGAATGTTTTAATGTGACTGACTTCTATGAGTTTCCCACTTCCCATTCACAGCCTGACAGACAATCCAAAGCCACCTGTACTGATCCTTTTCATTCGTTTCTTTTTCCTGTACAGTCGGCAGACGGACAGCAGAGAGCTCTGAACCGAAATGGCCAGCGGCGGGGACCCCAAGTGGCAGAAGGACGCTGCCGACCAGAACTTCGACTACATGTTCAAGCTCCTCATCATCGGCAACTCCAGTGTGGGCAAGACGAGCTTCCTCTTCCGCTATGCCGACGATAGCTTCACATCCGCCTTCGTCTCCACGGTGGGCATCGACTTCAAGGTGAAGACCGTCTTTCGCCACGACAAGCGGGTGAAGCTTCAGATTTGGGTAAGTCCACGGCCGAGGCCTAGCCACCAAGATGGGTAGATGGGTAGCACCTAGCAGATGTATCTTTCAAACTGCTTCGCTCTATGATTGCCGAAAGAAAGAGAAGTCCTCGAGTGGGTGGATTCATTGTGATTATTCGATTGGTTCTGACAGATAAATCATCTGTACAATCGAAGTATTGATTTCTGCACCTAGCAATGACGGCATCAAGTGAGCACAGGTCGTAGGTTGGCGCACTCTCGAATGACCTAAAGTCTGTCCGTGGCTGTGCGTGGGTTTGCCGGGTTAATTGTGCTTGTCACTGTCATAAAGCAAAGACCTGAGCAAATTTCGTTTGGCTTTTGCAGGACACGGCCGGGCAGGAGCGTTACCGCACCATCACCACAGCCTACTACCGCGGCGCCATGGGTTTCATCCTGATGTATGATGTCACCAACGAGGACAGCTTCAACTCGGTGCAGGACTGGTGAGAGCACACATATCCCTCACACACACTCTCTGCCACACACTAACTCGGCTCTCCCCTTGGTCTCCTCCCGCAGGGTCACACAAATCAAAACCTACTCGTGGGACAACGCCCAGGTCATTTTGGTCGGAAACAAGTGCGACATGGAGGATCAGCGAGTGATTAGCTTCGAGCGGGGCCGCCAACTGGCCGATCAGCTGGGCGTGGAGTTCTTCGAGACGTCCGCCAAGGAGAATGTGAATGTCAAGGTGAGTACCGTGCCACTGGAGACTGCGATAGTTGCTAGATGTGGATGTGTATGTCTTTCACCCTTCTCAATGCTCCCCCTAGGCTGTCTTCGAGCGCCTGGTGGATATCATATGCGACAAGATGTCCGAGAGCCTGGACGCAGATCCAACGTTAGTGGGCGGGGCACAGAAGGGCCAGCGCTTGACGGACCAGCCGCAGGGCACGCCCAACGCCAACTGCAACTGTTAGAGCGCCACCAGCCCCAGGAGAACGAGAACCCGGCACCGGAAAGTTAGAGAGAGGATCTACTCGTACAACAATCGTTCAACAACATTGACCGCAACTGAGGCAACAACAAACAGAAACAACATAAAATCAACAAAAACTTAAAGCTAGATAATTAGTCAGCTCATTAATCAAGGGATGGAGGGCGTTTATCCGCCAGTTAAACGATGACATGTATATGCAGGCATCCATGAATGATATGAAGGCCATGAGTATGCCAGCAATGCCTGTGTGCACTGTATTTGTAACCATATATGTATGTATATCCTTTGCGTTCGGTCGCCTCCGTGTAAATGTCAGATGTTATTTAATCAATGTTTGAATTTTAATTGGTAATCGATAATTGGTAATTGGTAAATTGTAATGTGTATCTTGTAACGTGTAATTTAATCGGCTGCCGCAGCGACGCACTACTTGTTGAACATGGACTTGACTGGACTTGGGCGACGATATGAGCAGAGGGCTACAGGGGGCTACAGAGAGGAGCTTCTAGGGCTAGCAGCACTAATTAAATGTGCACACGTTCTGTGCTGATAATAGTTATTTGATTTGCAACTGCAACTGCAACAGCAACTTCAACTTCAACTTCGTTCGCGATTCTCCATCTCCATTAAAACGGGGCTGGCAGCCTCGAGGCACTTTCCACTTGTATATACATATGCTGGCTTAACTGTACAGTTTGAATGCTTGGTCACAACGCACAAAGCTAGCAAATTGGTGAAATCGAACATAGTAACTAAAGCTACCACTATAACTATCTACATACATGTATGAAACACACACACACATTAAATCCCGATCCCGGCTTGCCTTGGCTGGAAGGCTGCAGAGGCAGATACAGAAACAGATACAGATGAATTAAGAGATACATAAACAGATACGTACATGCTCGTATATAAAGAGCTATGTACATGAATCGAGTGGCAAGCCATTATTATTATTAAATATTATAATTATTATTATTATGTACGTATGTATTTATGTAGTGAAATGGAAAATTTTAATGTGTTGCAATTGATAAATGAAATATATACATCAAATATACATACCTACTATATACGATAAATAGTACATACTACCCAGACTCAGAGCCTATAGCCCAGAGCCTATAGCCTATAGCCTATAGCCGATAGCCTTTAGCCTTTAGGTACTTTCGCAGTTTTCCCTGTCTCTGTTCCTGTCAAGTTCCGAATCCTTTCTGACAATAACGTGCTGAAGACAGACAAACTTGAGGATCGAATTGATCCTTGCCATCCCAGGTATCAAAATTGTTTTCCGTTCTAAACTTTAACCTCACAGCGCACAATTTATTGAATCGTTTAACCTGATGCCTAGAGTTGCGGGTTGCGTATTGAAATTGAAATCGAAATTGAATTGAATTGAGCCCACCGAGCCAGCTGACAGATCGGTGCATTTAATTTGCCAACTATCCTCCCGACACAGACATCCTCTTTTGATAAGCACACCCCGCCCAACCCCACCCCCCTACTTTTCTACTGTCGTACGCCTCGCTACGCTATTGTAAAAGACACAACCAACTGCTGCCGTGACGATATTTGTCAGACATGGAGGACACAGAGTTGAGAGGACCTTGTATATCTGGCCGCGGCCAGGAGGCTGAAACTGCTGAAACATAACTGAAATATAACTGAATATAAATGAATATAAATGAATATACATATGTATGTATTGGGAAATGCTCGTTAATGTTAAATATGTATGTGTATACGCAGAGTTTCACTTGAATTACGATTAAATTAAAGGCATATCGCTGTATTATAAATACCCAAAACGAATCGAGATAAACATACGTACTACAACACATACCCGGAGACATCCTGCAAGCCAGATCCATCTCCCCCTACACCTCCGCGTAGCCAGAAAAATTGCACAACGACTTGTTTAGATAAAGAACCAAAGTACAGAGGATGTGGAGTGGGAAAATAGTGGAGGGAAGTGTGAAAATTCTATACGAAAATGCCTTAAACAAACGACAGCTGACGCGTACATAGACTTTCCGGCATTCGATCTGTTTTGTAAGATATGTAGTTACAGCATTCGTCTAAACTAAACTGAACAAACCCGACTAAATTTAAAGTGAAATCAAACCAAAACCAAAAACTAACACAATAAGCAAACAATTGTTATCGAATTCATACTCGTACTCGTGCATAAAGCATTGGGTAAGCAAACGTTTTTGCGCTACATTGTTGTCATTTAACGAATAGTACATACATATGTATGTATATGGTACTAGCATATTGATTATGGCATTGTGTACTCTCAGCCGAAACCTAATATTTGTGAACCGTTCTCGTACTCGTAATCGTATTCCAAGTATTTCAAAAACAATGCCATTATTTGCATTCCATTTGAATTGCAGCAGAATTACCCAACTATAAAATGCATACGATACAATTATGTCAAGCCCAAAAGAAAACTAAATTGAAAAATTCAAATAAAATAATTCCGTATGTTATTCAATGATGGTTTTTCAACACCAACACATCCGCATACCCGTGCTTATGAGGATACTTACATAGATTTACACTAACACATACACGTACACACGTACACACATACATTCATAGATAATATACACATAATGGTATTGAAATTATTGTATTCCCATAATAAAATATATGCAAAAGGTGTATGGTAAAACAAACAACACAACCGATTTATTCCTCAACTCTTTTCCATTGAATCGAAACTTTTTGGGGGAGGCCATTTTTACTCTTTTGTAGGAGCGGACAACGATGTACCAGCTAGTACCAGCTAGGACAGTAGTCCTAGCAGATTCCCGAATTTCGACCTAATCCTCTCACTTAGCAGGGGGATGCCATCTTAGAAGGGTCCTTCTTTCTGTTAGCTGTAATATTCCTTCATTGTCTCCCTTTTTCAATGTATTATTTGTTTCCAAAAGCCAAAAAGTTTCGAGATGCGATCACTACCTAACGAAAGTTTCGTGCTCCAAACCCAAGCTTATTTTCTCACCTTTTTCGATATTGCTGTCAAGTCAGATTCAAAGACACTCTACAGATGAGAAGCAAGGTATCAGGTCAAACAGTACTGTTTGACTGTGAATTTGCAAATTTAGATGATATTATAACCTACGTACAACAGAAGCCCCCTCAGCAGCTGAAAATCCCATTTCCCTGGACAGTTTCAAAACGCGCACACCTTATTGGTTTTGTATATTTATTTTACACGATTTATTCATATTGATAAACTTTACAAGTAAATAAGTGTCCAATTCACATAGATATCATATCGTATAGTGTGTGTGTGCCACATTGAAGCGCAATCGGCGGCAAAGCTTAGAGCCCCAATGGCTCGTGCAACACTGCGGCGCGAACAGAACAATGGAGTCCAGCAGAGTGAGTGTTGCTTATGAATTATGTATTTATAGATTGTACACACTTTACATGGGCATGAGTGGCTATTGTTGAGTCGGGGATCAAACTGTTGAGCAAGCTTCCGCTCCGATACTTTCGATACTATAGACAAATATGTATATGTATGCATGCGAATATATGTATGCACTGTTGGATATGTTTATGGGGTCTGTGTCTGTGGTCCTCGTACTGCGCACTATAATATTCCTTCTAAACGTTTGTTGTATGCGATTTTGATTGTACAGTGGCCACGCTCTCGCAGGCTGAACGAGAGGCTGATGAATGCTTTCCAATAAGAGTCTCAAGGGGCTTGGAAAGTCGAACTCCGTTTCTTCGACTTTGAAATAATTTGGCATAATAAGCTCTATCTTCGATCGGGCTCTCGAGGCACCCAACGTGCCCTTGTCCCATTGTTTGCGCTAACTAAGATTGAATCAAATCGTACATCCTTCTGTCTTCTGGGGATACTTGAATTGGACCTAAATGCACAGGCTCTGTGCGAGTGTGAGTAATTGTACTGGTTTTTGCGTAGAGCTTAACTTAGTGGCAGAACAAAAATGCGTAAAATCAGTCTGACTTGTTTTTAAACGTTAATTATAAATACTAAATACATATGGTATAATACACGCCCTCACTCGCACTCGAGCGAACCCAATCTGTACAGTTTTCGAACAGCTGCAACTTGGGCTCTGCTCCGGTGAGTTGTATAAATTAATTAAATGCTAACAACTATGCATAAACATGTTCCTAACACTAGTACTCGTTTGCGGGTTTGCGGGGGAGTGCTAAGCGGTATTTAGGTAAGAGTAAAATGCATGTGGTTTCGACAGGATGAGAGTATTTTATGTACAGGATTCTAATGATGGACTTATGGCCTTTGGTGGCGCCGCCCCGTCGCGTCGCCCGCTTGCTGCCCCTGGAAGTATGCTGTGGCCTTGGTCCAGGAAGCAGCTCAGGCATTGATGGTGCTTCTGTAGTGCGGTTTGCGTCTTATTGTGGCAAAGTGTTGCGCCTGGTTCTTCTGCTGCAGATGCTGCACCTGCTGCTTCTGCTTCTGCCTCTGTCGCTGCCTCTGCGCCTGCCTCTGCCTCTCCTTTTGTTTCAACTGCAGTTGCTGGGACAGTCGTCACACTGTGGTCTCGTCATCATCAATATTCCGCCTGTTTGCGACAGAGAAAGGTGGCATTAGTACGGTTTAGTTCGAGATTCAAGACGCAGTCTGAAGTCTCTACAATATTTCTGCGTGCGCCACGTGCCGCGTGCTACGTGCTTAATGGAGTGCATTATTTATGGGTGCATGCCGGGACAAAGGTGTCATAAATTGCACTCGGATACTTAGTTTAACGTGCTTAATGTTTAGTGTTTGGGGTTTAGTGTTTTAGTTTTGGTTTACGGTTTAGTTCAAGCGAAAACATAATTTGTGCTACAGAACAACAAACAACAACTGAACGTTAATCTACGACTGGGTGGGTGGGTGTGTGGATGGTTGGTTGGGTGTGCACGGGTTGTGTCTGTGTGTGCGTGTGGCAGAGTTTCGGGTGTACAGTTTTGTTTGAATAGTAGATTAGACCAGAACTGACCGCATGGGTCGGTTATTCGAGTGCTAATGGATTCTTGGGGGGAGGCGGTTGTGGGCGTTAAATCATAATCGTTATTGGGCTCAAATGTCTTTGGGTTTAGTTCGAACTCAATCGAGACTGAATACATTAACATATTATGCATTTGGCAGGTACTAGAGGGGGAAACGGCTCTGCTCTGGCATTACGAGTATACGATTTTGATAGTTTGCCACTCGCAGTGGAGTACAGGGGAGCTATGGCTTTCGATTAACTGGGGGAGCTAGCTAGACGGTTCCTGTGTTCGGTTATCAGTTGTTGTTAGTACCATATTGTGAGCGACCAAGGATACTGCTGCCTCTGTTGCCTGCGTTGCAGCCAAATAATGTCGAACTGTGGAGATGTGGAGGTTGTATAGAGCGTCTGTTGTTGTGTTGATTCAATGGATGTGTGGGTGTATGTACAGATGTATGATTGATGCGTATGATTTGTGATTGAGAACATAACACAAGATTCAATTCAATTCAATTCAATTCAATTCAAAATTACGGGTTGCAATTGCATTACATTCGAATTACAAGTCACAGAGTTTTAAAATTCAATTATATTAACAAATCAAACAATAATGAACGGCACGGAACGGAGGCGGCAGTGGGATAAGGAGGAGGCGACACAATTTGGTTGGTATACAAAATCAATATTCACATTCAATGGTTCAATGGGAGAGGGGTTCAAATTAAATTGAAAACTGCGCACTCCGAACTTTGGCAGGGAGATCGAATACGAATCGGAGTCCGGATCCGAATCCGAATATCTTTACACACACTTAAGCTAGGTCAAACGATAGGAAAAAATGTAACACAAAACGACGATGGAAAATGGAGAATACAAAAATGGGTAAATGGAAAATGTAAAATGGAAAATGGGCGAATGTGATGTGCGAGTTGAAAATGCATTTTCCTTGTGGTTTACCTCTGAGCTGTTGATGTAGTTGTAGTTGTAGTTGTTGTAGTTGTAGTTGTGTGGTTGTAGTTGATGGTGATGTGGTTTTATTTGATTGGGGGTTAGACAGACGGCAGAGGGAGACGAGTCGCCAGCGGTATGTAGTATTTTGTATCACGTTGGATTATATTTTGTTGCCAATGCGTATACGTATGCGTGTGTGTGTATGTGTGTGTGTGTTAGTATGCGTTATCATTTTTTATTAGAGAGAGAGAGCAAAAGCACAAGATGGGAGAGAGAATAGAAGTGTAGAAGAATAGTCAAATTAGATTCGGTTCAAACGTTCCCAGGACCAGCTGAAAGGATATGTATAGAGGAATGCATGAGTGTGTGAGTGTACGTGTAAGCGTGCCTCCGCATGTGGTTGTGTGTGTGTGTGTGTGTGTGTGTGTTGTACCATATTCATTTGCATTGTTTCCGGTTATCTTTTTGTTCAACAGGAACGGAGGAGTGGATGGATGGGTGCCGGACAAAAGAGTTTATATCATTGTTGCCGTTGGTTGGTTGTTGTTTTGGTTTAGATGATGGGGAATGCCATAAAGAAAAGAGAACCGGAAACAAAGAGGACCCCAGATTAATGGCCGGAGTCAAATGTGAAAAACGAACCACAGTTCAAAAGCAAAACTAATCTCTAGCAGCAGACCAACAGCAAATCAAATAAACATAAATCGTACAGGACTCGGGATCGGAACAACATCGGTTACAAGAAGCACTAGCTGGCACCGCCCCAGGAGCCAGGAGCCAGGAGACAGGAGCCAGAAACCACAACCAAACCCAAGCAGAAACCAACACAAATTTGTGGGCTGAGCTCTCGGATTAACACTCACTCAGTGTCCGTGATGCTGGCCAGGGGGCCCAGCGGCTGCATGGGCGCCACCATGCTGGAGGGTGGCGACGAGGCCCGCGAGCTGTGCCGCGAGCCGCCGTTCATCGTGTGACGGGCCATCAGGCCCGGGTTGTTTACATCGTTCACCAGGCCCAGTCCCATCCCCATGCCCATGTTCAGGCCCAGGCCCGGGGGGTGCATCAGCTGGGAGCCGTGCAGCGAGGGGGGCTGCGTGTGGCTCAGCTTGCGCGTGGTCAGATGGTCCTCCTCGGCTGTGTAGGGAAAGTGGTATCCGTTCTTGTCCGATCCCTCCGACAGCCTGTCCTGCGCCTGCGCCTGCAGCTGCTGTTGTTGCTGCTGCTGCTGCTGGTGGTAGTCGTTCTTGAGCAGGGAGTGGACCGAGTGCAGCGAGTCCGTGGGGTAGGCGGGCTGCCTCTTGAGGCTGTAGTGGCCGTCGCGGGAGCCGTAGATGTCCGGGGTGATGCGGTCCTTGGAGAGGTAGGGCGACTCCGATTTGGCGCCCAGGTAGCCGCTGCCCAGGGTCCTCTGCTTGTCGTAGATGCTGTCGCTGAGGTACGCCGCATCCGGGTGGAAGCTGCGCATGTGCCCGATGGTCTGGGAGCCGCTGCCGCCGCCCGGGTAGTCCTTCTCGCTGCCGTAGTGGCTGGGCGGCTTGTAAGAGCCGTACTTGTCCGGGTACTCGCCGCGCCGCCCGTACAGACTGTCCTCGTAGCCGTCGCGGGCGTCCCGAATGTTCTCGAGGATCGAGGGCGGCATGTTGATCTTGTTGTGGTGCTGCTGCAGATAGCTGGTGTCCGTGAGGTCGGGATTGGGCAGGGGGTTGGGCGAGATGGTCATCTTCTGGCCGTGCACGTGCTCGTTGTCGGAGCCCGTGTCCTGGGACCATCGTCCGATGTTCGGCGGCGACTGTATGTACGTGTCCGGCAGCTGGCTGGACCACCTGGGGGCGTACACGGGCTTGTTGACGCTCGGAAAGAGCTGCGGGCTCTGAACCACGTTCAGCTCTGGGGGCGTGGTGGCCTGCACGTGCTCCGTGATGTTGGGCAGGTAGGCCGGAGTGGAGCTGACGGCCGTGCTGCGGTGCGTGCCGGAGGAGCGTGCCGTACGCGACTCGTCGTCGTCGCTGGAGTGGCTGGAGGCCAGCTCCAGAGAGCGGCCGTCGGTCTCAGAGCCAGAGTCGGAGTCCTTCCGTTCGGTTCGCCGCCTCGGGGGCTTCTCCTCGCCGCGACTCCGTCCCGTGGTGGAGGACTCGAAGCCGCGCAGGAAGCTGGGCGCGTCGCTGGCCGAATTGTAGTTGGAGGTGGACGTGGAGGTCTGCCGCAGCTGGCCGTCGCTGTAGGGACTCGAGCTGGTCTTGGCCGTGCTGCGGGAGGTGGTGCTGCTGGCACTGATGCCGATGTTCCGCCTCGTGGTCGTGTCGTAGGTGCCCGCCAGGAAGTTGTTCGGCCGCGTGGCCCCGTTCACGTTGTGGGAGCTGTTGCTGACCACCATCGAGGAGTCGAGCAGCGGCACCTTGCGGCCCATGCAGCGCAGGCAGGTGCGCTGGAGGTTCTCGCGCACCCGCTTGTTGATGATGCAGTACCCAATGAGGCAGAAGAGCGCGTGCAGCAGCACCACGCCGGAGAGCAGCAGGCTCAGCAGCTGCGAGTGCTCCGAGGCGGCCAGCACGGCGAGTACCCACATGACCCCCATCAGGGGCAGCGAGACCACCGACAGCCAGAGCAGCGTGCGCAGGTTGCCGAAGCCCAGAACGTGGTCCTTCAGTGTGAAGGCGGCCTTCACGGAGACAAACAGGATCAAGAGGTTCACCACGGACATGCCGGCAATGGGACCCACGAGCCACCACACCACGGGCTCGTACACGGACAGCCAACAGCTGCAAGGGGACAACAAATGAAGTGAGAAGGAGGACAAGGGACTATTGCGGGGAATACTTACAACAAACTGTTTCCGTACTCGTGGGCCCGGACGCCCACGGAGAGGCCCACAACGACGGCGGGAGCGCCGTAGCCCATGGCAAAGTAGAAGCCCATGGGGCCGTGGTTGATGTCCCGCATCTCGGTGAGCATGCGGTAGAGATGCACGCAGTCGACGGTGGTCCAGGCGAACGCCGCCAGCCAGAAGTAGTGCAGGCAGATGGCGATCAGCTTGCAGGGGAACTCGTTGTCGATCAGGTGCCGCCGCGACTGCATGCCCACGAAGAAGAGCAGCTCTGCGAAGAAGACGCACAGCACGATGTTCTGGTGGATGGTGTTCGAGTTGGTCTGCTGGCCGCGGAGCAGGGCCAGGGCCAGGAGCACGCCCAGCAGCAGCGGCAGGGAGACCATGAAGGCCGAGTACGAGGTGATCTGCACCAGGAGCGAGGGCTCCGGAATGTCCTCGGGATCAATGATGTCCACAACCACCGCGTAGTTGGAGATGTGTGTGCAGCTGCAGTTGATCAGGATGGGCTGCTGCGGCGAGGGCGCGAAGTCGCCGTCGAAGTCGGGCGCCTCCGTCTGGCAGCCCAGACGGGTCCACTGGTTGGTGAAGGAGTTCCAGCGCACGCACTGCGGGTTGGAGCGCGGGCCGAAGCGCGCCGTGTCCATGTCCAGCCACATCTGCAGCTTGATGGGCTGCAGGAGGTGCGGCGAGCCCAGCGAGCGGTAGACCATGCGCTCCGGCGCCTGCTGGAGCTGGTCCGAGGGATAGATGACCTCCACCTGCCGCTTGACCAGTCGTCGGTCCCGGTAGATGGCCTCGTTCTCGCCCTTCGGCTGCTCCTCGCTGCCGGAGGCTGCGCCCGTCCCCTCGTAGTTGGGGTTCAGCAGTTCCGTGGAGTCGGGGGGCAGGAGCTCCTCGCCCGAGTTGCCGTGGAACTCGATATCGTCCAAGTTGAGGTGGATGTGGGGCTCCTGCACCTCCGCGCCATCCTCGTTGCTGCTGGCCTCCAGCTGCTCCCCGGAGGAGGCTGGCGGCGGAATCTCGTGCGCCGTGATCCGGATGTCCTCGATCTGCTGTTCGCTGCTGCTGCTCGGGGCCTTGGGCACGTCGAAGACCTCCACGAACTGCTGCTCCGTGCTGCCAGAGGACGAGGAGGTGCTGGACGATGACGACGAAGAGGAGATCTTTCGCGACGGAATCTCGAAGCGCTGCTGCTGCTGCTCCTGCTCCCGCTCCCGCTCCACCGATGGCACCAGGATCTGCAGTGAGAGTATGGGCGTGGCCAGCTCCACATCGACGCCCCAGCGGCGCGTGATGGTCTCGTCGTAGAGGTCCGGCAGCAGCTGGCCCACGTCCTTGTACTGGGCGTAGGCGACGATGGCCCGGTAGTCGTTGCCCCGGCGGCTGCCCTGGGTGACCTCGTCGCTCTCGGGTGGCGTGATGCCGAGCATCTCGAGCGGGACGAGCACCTTGGTGTGCTTGTCGAACTTGTGCCTGTCCAGAATGTAGTTGTTGTACTTGGGGAAGCTGATCACGGGCTTCTGCTTGGCGGAGTGCTGCAGGAAGCCGCTGGTGTCGGGCAGCACCACGCTCTCGGTGGTGAAGGCGTTCGGCTTGAGGTACTTGCTCCGGTGGTACTCGCTGAGCTGCTCCGGCTCGTAGCCGAACAGGGACTCGGTGGTGACGATGTCCAGGCCCAGGGCCACGTTCGGCTGCACGATCTCAAAGGGATTGGTGTAGGTGTCGTGCTGGGAGCGCGCCAGCACCACCAGGTACTTGTTGAAGGCATCCACCAGGTCGTCGGGGCCGCGCTGGATGAGCTCCGAGGCCCGTCGCCACTCCGCCTCGTACTTGCGGTCCAGGATCACGCTCGCCGCGTCCACCAAGTTCTTGATGAAGTACTTGTCCTGGCTGTGCGACAGGTTGAGGCCGCTCTGCATCAGCTCGTAGTTGATCAGCTCCTGGAGGATGCCCTCCGTCACCAGCAGATCGGCGCCGTACAGCCGGTCGTGGCTGAACTTCAGCTCGTCCGACAGGTAGTCCATCTCTAGCTCGTGCGACCACACGTTGCCGCCGGCGTTGAGCAGGAACGAAGACTCCATCTTGTAGCGCCTGCCGCTGGGCCTGGGCGCCGGCTGCTTGGCCACGCCACTGCGGTCGACGGCCTCGCAGGCCCGCTGCAGCTGCTCCGCCATTTTGATGGCCACGAACGAGTTGAGCTCCAGCTCCAGGCGCTCCAGCTGCGACAGCTGCCGCCGCAGCTCCACGAACGGCTCCGAGGTGCAGTTGTACATGTCCGGAGTGGTCCAGCTGCCCGTCTGGCTGTCGCAGCTGCGCTGGCCCTTACCGCGCGCCGGCAGCGGACAGTTCTCGACGGTGACGCTGCCCAGGGGTGTGCGGGGCCACCAGATGCCCGCCGCAAAGGACCGCGGACAGGCGTCGTAGACCACCTCGCAGCCGTTGAGCGTGACCTCTGCGTAGGGGTTGGAGCAGGAGTCGCAGCGGCGTCCGATGACGCCCTCGCGGCACTCGCACTGCCCCGTGAGGCGGTTGCAGGCGCTGTTGAAGCTCCCGATGGAGTAGCAGTCGCAGGAGAGGCAGGCCGTCTCGTTGGGCGGCTGGTAGTGGTTCGTCTTGCAGTAGCAGTGGCCCGTCGTCTTGTTGCAGTCCGGATGGTAGCCCTGCTTCAGGTTGCACTTGCAGGGCCCGCACACGCGCTCGCCCCACCAGCCGCCGGGACAGGGCTGCTGCAGCTCCCTCTCGCAGTAGTCGCCGTGCTGGAAGCTGCTGTTGCACTCGCAGCGGTAGCCCCGCGCCAGACTGACGTTGGCCCGACACACGCCCGCGGTGCACGGGTTGACCGTGCAGATGGGAGCGCACTCCGCGCCCACGTAGCCAGCCTCGCACTCGCAGGTGGCCGCGTCCCAGCTGCTGGCGCAGTCGGAGTGGGCCGGACAGTTGTCCGGACACTGGGCCCGCGACTCGCAGCCGTCCTCCACGTTCTCCCGGATGGTGGGCCGCGACAGCACGGACTGTCCGGCTCCGATGCGCACGTCCTGTATGCAGCCCTCGAAGGGAGACGCCTCCAGCACGGCCCCAATGGTGCCGTCCACGCTGCCGATGACTATTTTGCCCACATAGAGGCCCTGCACCTTCTGGGACATGGGCACTGAGCCCGAGCGCTGGCCGTAGTCCACGGAGAACTGGACCTCGGAGCCCTGCTGCCACTTGATCTCCACGCGATGCCACGCGCCGTCTGAGAGGAAGGCCCCGGCCAGGTACATCGGCTCATTGTCGTACGTGTAGTAGAGGATGCCGTGCTTGAGGGAGACCACCGCCGAGCTGTTCTGCCCGATCTGGATCTGCATGATGAAGGCGTCGCGCTGGCGCGTGCGCAGCGAGAAGGAGGTGTGCCACGGCAGCTGGATGGGCCGCAGCAGGGGATTGAAGCTGAGGCTGCCGTCGCCGGAGAAGCGCCAGGGAGCGGGAATGTTCTCCTGGCAGTTGATGCCCGCATAGCCCTCGGGGCACTCGCAGGTGTGGGTGCTCCAGCCCTCGCGACAGGTGCCGCCGTTGAAGCACGGCTCCGAGGCGCACAGCGCCGACTTCTGCGGACACCCGGAGATCGTACCGTTGTCGGCCACGTACGAGTTGAGGTCCACGTAGCGGTCGTCAATCCTCAGGTCCGAGATGCAGCCGACGAAGTCGCGATTGGCCACTGGGAAGTGGGCGGGTATGCGCGGCAGTCCGCCCACCTGCAGGGGTCCCGTGAGATCGAGGAATCGATGGCAGGTCTCGGTCAGCAGAGCGCATCGCTTGTCCAGCTTCAGCGTGGTCTGGTTGGCGCAGTGCCAGCGGGGCCCCAGCTGCTCCCCCGACAGAGCGATGGCCGTGTCGCACTTGTCCAGGACCAGGGTGACGCTGCGGTTGAGGTACGCCACCTCCACCTCGTGCCACTGGCCGTCCGAGACCTTGGACTGCTGCTCGACGGACAGCCGCTGGCTGTGGTCGCCCAGCGAGTAGGAGAAGCTGATGTGCCCCTCGAGGATCTCCAGGGCGATGAAGTCGTGCAGCTCGTTGTAGCGGCCGTTGTAGAGCAGCAGGCCGTTGTCCTGGACGGTGGCGAAGCGCAGCTTGAGGTTGAAGCGGTGTCGCTGCTTGAGGCTCTCGAAGGTCAGGAAGGAGTTGCGGGAGAAGGAGCGGGAGCGCAGCTCGCAGGTGGCCGTGTAGGGCGGTGGCTGGGAGCTCAGGTAGTTGTTCATGCAGGAGAGCCCGCCCTCGCAGGCGTCCGACATGCAGGGCCGCAGCTTGCTGACGGTCGTCTCGCAGTTGAGGCCCGTGTGCGAGTCCGGACAGACGCAGGTGTAGCCGCCCTCGCGCCGCACACAGGAGCCCCCGTTCTGGCAGGGGTCCGAGTAGCACAGGTCCACCTCGGTGTCGCACAGGTAGTGCTCCTTGCTGCCGGTGAAGCCCTCCGGGCAGGAGCAGGCGAACGTGTTCACCGGATAGATGGGCCGGAACAGCACCGTGTCGCTGTGGATGAACTCCGAGGCGTTGCCGAACTTCAGCACCGTGAGGCACTCCTCGAAGTTCAGGCAGGGCTCCCGCACGCACAGGTTGTCGTCGAACGGCAGCACCTCCACGGTGGCCAGGCGCGCGAGGATGGCCCGGTTGAGGTAGACCCTCTCCTGAAGGTACTGTGGCGTGTAGAACTCCTCGTGCGAGACGTCGGGCCTCTTCGCCGAGAAGCTGACGTTCAGGATGCGCGACGTGACGTCCGTGTCGTCCTGTATGCTGAAGATGAAGATGTTCTCCTTGGGGCAGGGGATAATGGCCGCCAGGCCGTCGAGGAAGAAGTTGAGTAGCGGCGACAGGAAGGCCTCCTCCGTCATCTCATTCAGGCGCACCGTCACCGAGTTGAACAGCATGTCCTCCGTGATGAGGCGCACCGACAGCTGCATGATGGCCTTGGCCTCGTTGATGCCGTCCGAAACGGACACCTCCATCGTGGCGAACTTGGGCACGTTCGTATTGAGCTGCGGACTGAGTATCAGTCCGCCGGAGCTGCTGTTCAGCCGCAGCAGGTTGGCATTGTTGCCGGAGAGGATGCGGTAGTTCAGCTTGTCGCTGACGTCCGCATCGAAGGCCGGAATGCGTCCGATCTCGCCGCTGGGGAAGTGGTCGCGGAAGTTGTTGAAGATCACCTGGAAGTCGCGCAGCACCGGCGCGTTGTCGTTCACGTCCGTGACCAGGATCTCGATGTGGGCATCGTTGCGGAGCGGTGGACTGGCCGCCCTCACCACCAGCTCGAACCGCTTCCGGGACGACTCGTAGTCCAGCTCCGTCATGGTCAGCAGCTGGGCGCGCTCGGAACCTGGTCGCGTGACCAGCGAGAAGGAGTTGGAGTCGTCGCCGCCGATGATCGAGTAGTGGACCACGGCATTGACGCCTTCGTCCGGATCGTGCGCGTGTATCTCGCCCACCACAGAGCCCACGGGCGAGTTCTCCGGCACGTAGAGCGTGATCTTGTCCGAGGCAAAGGTGGGCGGCGAGTCGTTGACATCCTCCAACCGAATCTGCACCTCCACCGAACTGGACAGCGGCGGCGAGCCCTTGTCCACGGCAATGGCTGTCAGGTGATAGACGGCCACGCTCTCCCTGTCCAGGCCCTTGTTGGTGCGGACTGTTCCCGACGTGGGGTCAATCACAAAGGAGCCGTCCTCCACGTCGCGGTCGCTCAGCAGATACTTGATGCGCCCATTGAGGCCGATGTCCGGATCGCTGGCGGACACCTGGATGACCGAGGTGCCGACCAGCGCGTCCTCCAGAATGGAGGACTGGTAGAGCGGGTTCTTGAACACGGGCGCGTTGTCGTTGACGTCCGTGACACTGATCTCCACGTCGGTGGTGTCGCTCAGCGAGGGACTGCCGCCGTCCTTGGCGGTGACTGTCAGCAGGTATCCGCTGGTCGTCTCCCTGTCAAGGGGGGCGTTCGTGACGATCGCCCCCGTCTGCGGATTGATGGAGAAGGGGTCCGGGCTGCCCAGTCCGTTGATGCTCTCCTCGTTCAGCGAGTACGTGATCTGCGCGTTAATCCCCACGTCGCTGTCGGTGGCAGAGACCACCAGCACGGTGGTGCCCACGGGCGCATCCTCGAACACGGAGGCGCTGTAGGGCGCGTTCTCGAAGATGGGGGCAAAGTTGTTCGCGTCCGTTATGTTGATGTGCACCGTGGCCGTGTCGGAGCGTCCGCCGGAGTCGGTGGCCGTGACCGTGAGCAGGAAGCGCTTCTCCTGCTTGTAGTCCAGGGACTGGGCGATCGTGATGAGACCCCTGCCGTTCTGCGAGGTGATCGCGAAGCGTCCGCGCGTGTTGCCTGTCGTGATCTCGTAGTGCAGCCGCGAGTCCTCGTCCGGGTCTGTGGCCGTGACAGTCGTGACGGGCGTGCCCTGCGGCTGATCCTCGCCCACGTTCGCCTCGTAGTACTTGGGGTTGAAGGTGGGGTCGTTGTCGTTCACATCCTGGACGGTGATCACCACCGAAGAGCTGGCGGACTTGGGCGGCACTCCGCCGTCCTTGGCCACCACCTGGAAGGCGAAGCGGCTCTGCTCCTCTCTGTCCAGCTGCTTGATGGTCTGCACCCAGCCGGTTCGAGGATCGACGGCCAGCGGAAAGTTGTCGTCGCGCTCCGAGATGCTGTACGTGATCTCCGCGTTGGGGCCCTCGTCCGAGTCGTAGGCCTGCACCCGAATGATGTTGTAGCCGACGGGGACGTTCTCTAGCACGCTCTCCTGGAACTGGGAGGTGTAGAAGCGCGGCGCATTGTCGTTGGCATCTATCACGTTGACCAGCAGCTGGGTGGTGTTGCTCCTCGAGGGACTTCCCCCGTCCTGGGCGCGTATCACCAGCCGATAGCTGCGCACACTCTCGTAGTCCAGGGGCTTCACCAGACTCACGTCGCCCGACATGGAGTCGATGGAGAACTGCGACTGCGTGTTGCCGCCAATGATCGCGTACCGGATGGCGGCATTGTTGCCCTGGTCCGCGTCTGTGGCCCGTATGTGGGCCACGGTATTGTCCTCGCTGCCGCCCCACTGGTCCTCCGGTACCTGGACGGTGTACGTGCGCTCGCTGAACTGCGGATAGTTGTCGTTGTCGTCCAGGACCTTAACCAGCACACTGGCCGTGGCGGTCTTGCGTTCGCTCTGGGCTGCTGCCATGTCCGAGGCGGTCACCAGCAGGTGGTAGCTGTCCGACGTCTCTCTGTCCAGACTGCTGCGCGTGGAGATGACACCCGAGCGGGAGTCAATCCGGAAGATGGGCAGCTCCTGATCCTGCGTCGATCCGGTGCCATCTGTAAATGCCACAGGGAGAGATCAGTATACAATATAGCGAACGAATCTGGTATCGATCTTCTGTTACAGCCTGTTTACACTGGGGCTGCATCTCGGGTCTTTGTTGTTCTACGACATTAAAACGAGACAAATTCTTGCACTCCGGTTTCACCTAAGGACGTATATGACCAGAATGCCTCTCTGTTATTCCGCAACATCTGTGTCTGTCTCACTTCTCGCACCAACAACAGCTCCAACATCTCACTCCCCTCCGCCAGGAGCCGCACAATGCACGAGGAAAAGTGTGTGAGAGTGAGAGAGGGAAGGGGGCAGCGTAGACACTGTAAATGTGTTTCGGCTATAATATTAGCGGAGCCTAAGGTGTCACTGGTAACAGAGTGACCTCACAGGAGCGTGGATACAAAATTTGGTTAATCTAGCTTGTATAGTCCCTGAGATCTAGGCACTCATCGAGACGGACAGACGTCCGCCTCAACATGCAGACATGTCTACAAAAACTCGGCTATTGATGATGTTCTGTTTAGATCGAATAACAGTTCAAAGTATATGTTTCCGAAGGCCTGTTCTCTCGACCTTCCATAAACCGACTGTGTCGTATCGATAGCCACTTATCGGCTGGGTCTAGGCTAGGCTACTTGATACCCTGTCCCCAGTTAATGGTATCGGAAACGCCTCCGTCTGGCATCCACCAGAAAACTAATACGTCCCGAAACTCTTCGAGTACGCGGAAAAGTGGTACCCTAACGCCTCCCTAGTGTAAGCAAAGGCCTCGTCGTGCTGTCCACTTACCTGTAACTGTTTCGATTCCGTACTCTATCTCCGCGTTCTTGCCAATGTCCTGGTCGGTGGCTCGCAGGGTGATGACTGTGGAGCCCACGGTGGCGCCTTCCCTGATGCTCGCCTCGAACTGTTCGGCCTCGAAGGTGGGACTGTGGTCGTTGCAGTCGAGGACATTCACCTGGAGCGTGGTGGTGCCGGAGCGGGGCGGGAAGCTGTCGTCGGTGGCCACCACGCGGAAGTAGTGGACGTCCATGAGCTCGCGATCGAGGCTGGCCGACGTCGTGACCACGCCGGTGCGCGAGTCCACCTTGAAGAGCGACTGCGAGCGCGAGTCCAGCAGCGAGACCATGGAGTAGACCACGGGGGAGTCCTCGGGGTCGCGGGCCCGCACGGTGGTGACCGCTGCCCCGGACGCCTGCTCCTCCAGCACCGCGGCCACGTAGAGGGCCTGCTCGAAGTAGGGCGACTGGTTGCGCAGCTCGCGGCGCACGCGCCTGGCGATGTCGGTGTCGTTGAACTCCTGGTGGTGGTAGACGATCTTCAGGCGGTGGTCGGAGTCGACGATGTCGTTGCGGCTGCACCGGATGTTGAACGTGATGCTGACCTTCCACATTGACTCGTGGATGCAGACGTCGCGGCTGGCCACCAGGTCCCGGTTCCGGTGCTCGATGGCGAACCGCTCGTCGTTCACGTCGAGGAAGTTCACCTTGCAGAACTGGCACACGGTCCGGGGCAGGAAGGCGTTCAGGCTGTTGATGAACTGCGACTTGCGCAGGCAGATCTGGTTCCACTTGTCCGTCGTGTGGATGGCGTAGGAGGCGTACGTCTCCGAGATCCACTGCTTGGCGTCGGAGATGCGCCGATGGAGGGCCGGCTGCAGGTGCAGCGGGTCGGACGAGGGCAGTCCGCGCCGCTTGCGGCTGAGGATGCGGTGCCGCATCTCGTTCTCGAAGCTGTCGCCAAAGATCAGGTCTCCGGCCCGGAACTCGGTGCTGTTCTGGCTGTAGGCCTGCTCGAGCTGGTTGCCGTCCAGCAGCTGGACCTCCAGCGGCGCGGACCGCCTGCGCCGCCGCTTGGAGTAGCCCGTGTTGTCCTCCTCCTCGTAGTGGTGCTGGTGGTGGTGCAGCTCCTGCTCGACGCGCCTGTCCTCGTTGCAGCTGTGCCCCGAGACGAATATCCTCACCGGCAGGCTGTAGTAGTCGATGCTGCGCAGCCGGTTCGACGTCGAGTCCACGTAGAAGGTGAACAGGCTCGGGTAGTATATGCCGTCGCACTTGAGCGCCTTCCGCAGCTGGATCTGCCCGTCCTTGTGGCTGACCGTGACCAGGTGGTGCACAAAGTTGGCCGACTTGTGCGCGTTGATCTTGTAGTGCCGCTCCGAGCCCAGCTTGTACACGGAGGCGTTGAAGATGACCGTCCCCGGCGCCGCGTCCTCGTGCACCACGATCAGATACCCCTCGGACAGATGGTGGCCGGCCAGCTGGAGCAGCGCCAGCAGCCCCAGCCCCAGCCTCCACCAGCTACTCCGCCAGTCCCTCGTTTGCATTGCCACGACCACGACACTCGCAGTGGCTGTCGGTGTCGATGGTCGCTGGTCGATGTGTTTGCCTCTGTGTCTGAAGGAGGCTCCCTCCTGCGGGTGGTGCGTGGGTGTGGGTGTGCTGCGAGAGCCGACGAGCCACAGTGCAATCAGAGCTCCTATTCAATTATCATCGGTGGGCGGGCAGCGGGCGTGGCCATCTGTCTGTAAAGGAACACGGAGTGAGTGGGAGTCGCAAACATTTTGAGAGCCTAATGATATCCTCTTCTTGTGAAGGGATGCCCGTAAGCCACGAGCATGCAGGCTGCCGCTGCTCATGTTTTGACGGTTTTAAAGCTTTTGCTTTTGACTTAATTAAAAACTCTTCATGTCGCCGGCCTGCACAGAGTTTTCCACAAACACACCGCCACAACGCGGGGGGTGTATCACCCCCTTTTTCCCTTTCTTCTCCGCAGCAAACTCTGACTTTTCGAGGGTTTTTCGTATTAGCTAGATAAAACGAAATTTAATCTCTCGGGAGGAGGGCTCTTTGGCTCATTTTCTCCTTTCTCCACTTTTCACAGTTTGCCCAAAAATAAAAATACGGCTTAATCAGACAGGGGTGCAGGGCAGGGGCCCGGACAGGACAGCCGCAGCCAACAAAATGCAACAATGTGACACTGACCAGGGCTCGGGTGACCGTCACCCGGTGGCTATTCAGTTGCAGGAGCTGAAAATTTAATGAAATTCGATTTGATGTCCCTCTAATGGCCTTTGTGAATGCGTTTCGGGTTCGTTAATTAGCCAAAGCCAGCCACGGGCCCATACAGACCTGGCCCTGGGCGAAAGGGTGGCCTAAACAGGTGGGTCGGCTCGGGGTCAGGGGCCTTGGGGGCTGTGCTCGAGCTCCATTCCGAATTCCAGCTGCAACTAAACTGTTTGTTCGTTGTGCTTCATTTGGATGCAGATAATTCGCACGTTCGCCCCATGAAAGACACGTTCCAGCAATTCCCCTTCCCCTTCCAGGGGCACTGGGATATTGCGCATACGCAGTGCAGTGCAGGATGGCGCGCCATGTGGCCTATGAAATTAGCATGGCTCCTGGCTGCTGGAACCGACATCTGAGTACCTCTGGCCCCAAGATCACATCCCAGATCACAGGCTCCACGAGCAACAGAGAGACGAAGGGAGTGTTTTTCGGGGAGAAAGTCTGAAGACTGCAATTACATGTCGTGGCAGTCGCTTAACTTTCTGTTAATTGCAGTGTTAAAATGTTTAATTAAAATTTCAGCTTCGCCGCGCTCGCGGTAGACGTGTGCCAGACTTGGTGGCAGGCGGTTATTGTTCCGCCATGCGGCATAGTGCACACCGACAGGCACCCCATTCTCACCTGGGGCCTGCCCGGGGCGGCAGGCAGACGCTTTTCATGGTCCGTCAAGCCTGAAACAGGCGGCGAAACAGGCGGCTGCTGCCAGCAGACATGAAATTAATAAATTCTCACACGTTGCAGGCAACACTTGGAAAACAAAGAGGGAAGCAGGCCCGACCGGAGGCGCGTTTAGGGGGGGTGTTCGCTTCTGCCGACTAATTAATATTGGCCGACTGCTGCTGCAGTTTAGATCTGGCACAAATCAGGCCCGAATGCCAATTAGGAATGCGTCAGGCGATTACAAGTTTTCCACCAGTACGGCTGTGCGGGGCTTCGTATCGCCACTGGCTGGGCAGGAAGCCCGGCAAATATTTCCCACAGGTAACACACACCCGAGCGGGCGGGGGGGGAGCTCCTTGGAAGGGTTGCCCATAAACACTCGCGTTTTACGAGACAGCAATCCGCCCCCAAGACAGAGGCAGCAGCAGCTGGAAACTTTTTAAGTAGCAGCGTCCTGCGGAGCTGTTCCTGAAATATTATCCAGCCCCAAAGTTCTCCCATTCCGCCGGATTCATTTCGACTTTTTGTCCTTTCGCAAAGAGAGCGAAATGCAAGCGGAGAAGGCAGGAAGAAGGACACGAAACGTGTCAACTGTAAGCCTGATGGAAATTTATCACAGCCCCCGCCCCCGCCTCCGTCAAGTCGCTGTGTGGGCGTGGGCGTGGCAGCTCTGCGTCGCTAATGAGAAGCCCCAGGTAAAAGAGAGCTGAAGGCATTTTCATTCCATGATTTTTGATGAGCAAAAGCAGAGGAAAACTTGCTTGTTTGCTGCTAATGAAAATTGATCAACATTACGGGGGAAATGGTAGTCCCCGCTCCGCAGCTACGAAGCCTAAGGACTCTCGGGCAGGACTATAATTGAATTTCGAACATAATGAGACTCGAAAGCGGCGACTGGGGCCGAGACTGGGGCCGAGTGATTTCCCTTTTGGGGGAAAATTAATATTATGGCTTGTTTTGTTTTAACGAAGTGGCAGATATCCGTGGCATGCCGCGCGGGACTGACTCACTGCCTGTTCGGGGCTGTCTGGGTGTCTGCTGTCTGAATATTTCCATAAATTGGCGGCAAGGATAAGCGAGGACCTGCGTGCCTGGCAAGCATTAGCCGATTCCAGGGACATGAAATGCAATCAAATTCATTGTCTGGGACACGAGAGACGAGACACGACCCGGAGTTGCGTGCCGGAAATGCGCCTGTCTCCGGTCTAGACACAATAAGGAAAACAGGGAAAACTGAATGAAAACCAGTGGGAAACAAGCAGAGGGGGGACAGAGATGTGTGGTGAGCATTTAACTGCATTATCAAGGCTCTTTTCAGCCACCAGCCCCTGCGGCATACCCTGCGTATGCGTAATGTGTGGCCTTCCATGGGGGCATTCTTTGGGCGCACTTTTGAGGCCTCAAAACGGCCCAGACTGTGTATATTTTTGGGACACTTTTCGGGAAATTAATTTCCACCCCACGGGGCATCAATTAAATATCCGAGACAGCGTGCAGAAGGAAGACCCGTCTGAAAAGCTCCTTGCTGTGCAGGCAACTGCAATCGGGGCCAACAAAGGGAAACTGGCGGTGCAACAATGCGTCCTGGCGGCGGCTGTAGGGGGGTACAGGGGACCAGAATGTTTCCACAACAACGGAAACATAGAAAAACATGCATACAAAAGGAGGATAACGGCATGCCAAAGGAATCGCAGGAAGAAAAGCTTCCTTTGTTGCTGGGCTCTAGCTGAAGGCAGACAGAAGCAACAGGGAGAGCAGGGGCGAGGGGGGATTACCGAGTGCAATGCAATTGAGCTTAAACGATAACATTGTCCAAAGGAATGCATACGGAAAGCTGCAGAAAAAGGAGCAACGAGTGCGAGTAATGCACGGAGACACGGAGGGAGGCCACAGAGCCCAGCGGGGGGCACTGCACTGACTTGCAACATGGCGTACAAATTAAAAGTGTGCCAGCGGCAAGCCACGCAAACTGCAACCGGAAGAGCGGGGGAGACTGCGGATGACGGAGTGCGGAGACTGCGGAGACTGTCGGATAGAAATAAATTAAGAGCATTGTAAATTCCGTGACAAGGACCAGGCAGGACTCGAATTTAAATGCAAATCAGAGACTCTCCAGCGATCTGCTTGCGCTCCATTAGCGCGTATCGCGTGGAGAGGGATTTATGTTCTGCTGCCACTCGACAGTGCCCCTTAATTGTGGCTGGAGCGGGAGCGGGAGCTGGAACTAAGCAAAGTTCTCCCTCGTTCGCCTAACACAAAATCAATGCTCGGAGCTCGACCGATTCGCTCGAGTTGCCTGCCTTCCTGCCGTTCTTCCTGCCCAAATTGCTTAATTAATGTGGGAAGAATTTGTTGAATTAGTGCAAAAGTTGAGCTCGGAAGCGCTCAAGTTTCCACACGGAAAGTTTGCGCCCGAGAAACGGGAGAGTGTGGACTCTGCGCCGGCTTTAAGAATCTGTGGGATGCGTGCATACGCAGCACATCGATGCCAGAGGTTACTGCCAACCACCCCCCCACCCACACTCCCATTTGACGCACAATCCAGATGCCAGCAAAGGACAAGCCACAGGGCTGCCAGGAGCAGGAGCAAAAGCAGGAGCCGGGGGATCAGGAGATGACAAACGAAAAGCGTAAATGAAATGAGGCCATGAATAAAGGAATAAAGAGCAGCCAAAGCAGCTACTCGTTCAAATGCTCAGATACATATACCCATGTAGCCCCATATATATATATATATATGTACATTCGTATCCTATATCCCCGTCGCATTCATTCCGTTCTCTGTGTGGGGTGGGGTGAGTGGTGGAGGAGCTATGGATCTAAGTGCGTTGCAGTTTAACTTTTGCCGTCAAGTTAATTCAAATGCAGCGGGGGAGTCGGAATGGGAGTGCGGCTTGGAAGTGGGAATGGGGGCAGAACACTTAGTGGATATCTCATGACAAATGTCGGGAGTCGGGCGGTGCAGGAGGCAGGAGGGAGGAGGGAGGAGGCAAGAGGGACTGTTGACAAGCATTTGCTTTTCTCGCTTTTCTCGGATTTTCTTTTGTGGCATTGTCATCGTGCTGCTGCTGCTGCTGCTGCTGCTGCTGCCTCTGCTGCTGCACTGTTTTGCAATTAAGTTTTTGTGTGTTGCGGCTCCCACATATCGCTCAGAGCGCGAGACAGAGAGGGCGATAGGGCGAGAGAAAGGGGAAGAAGACAGCGAACATATGGCAACGCTTCACCAGGAAAACAATGGCTGATGCTCCCCTGCCGGAAATGTGATGCCACTCTATGAAGTTCCGGGCTCTACAGGGTTTTAGCCACCGTCTCTGACTCCGTCTCTGACTCCGACTGTGTGTCCTGGCCCTGAGCCTGAGCCGTGATAAGTTGCTCCACTTTGGCTGGAGTGGTGGCTGGGGGGCGCGGGTGGGGCCAGTCAAGCGCAAATCCCATTGAATTTATTTTTATAGTGTTGTAAAGTTGATTATGTTAATGCGATTCAATTCGCATTCGCATCCGACTTCGGGGTTTTATGGGGAATTTATGCAGTCCTTTCTGCCTATGAAATATGGCCAGTGATTTATCCTCTTCGAGCAGGCGAGTGAGCGTCGAGCGTCGAGCGATTTAAGTAAATTGAAAAAAAGGAAGCACCAGAGCGGCAAAGGATAATCGAGAATCCTGTCAAATGGGTGGAAGGACAAAGTGCCATCAATGGATCGGATGGAGCACCACCATTCGGATGCACATGCACAGCCCCCAGCCGACGGCGGCGGATGCAGAGGCAGAAAGGAGGCGGCTAGGGATGGGGGGTCCT